TAATAAAAAAAAATTAGCCTTTTTTCTGTTCACGCATTATAAAACAAAATCATTTAGGAAAAGCGAGCGATCGCAATTAGGGTATATTAAAAAGGTCACGTGTTTTTACCCGTGTGGTTCGAGTTCTCTGGAACAGCTTTTGTCGTCTACTTTGTGTACATCAATCGAGGATCTTCATTGAAAGAGTGTCGCATTGTGACATAAAGGGCAGTATGTCATGTCTATGAACGCGGAAAAATGTCAACGGCAATTTTTAGTCGATGACGCCCACTCTCTATGCTAATACTGATATAATAGTTTTAATATTTAATGAAGGGTGACAAAATGGATATTTAATGAAGTGTTATTTGAGCAATGATGTTCCTTAGCATAGACATTACTATTTTACACAGACGTACACGGGATCCATTCTGGTTGCTGTGAACCCTTACAAGGAGGTGGACTACTACACAAATGTGAGTAATTAATTTGATTATGTATAATAAATAAATCGAGCGCTGGAAATCACGTATAACTGGTATCACGAAGCGTGAATTTTATATAACGAGTGGAAAAAAGAGAGATTTAATAAATTCTATAATTTACCGTTTATGTTTATGTTTCTATCATTTTCAATGTGTCATTGATATAATTTTTGCACGTGATACTTCCAACTTCTTTCTTCTCTAGATCGTCCTATACTATTACACAAAAACAATATAAAATAAATAAAATATTATTAAGATTTAAAAAATGCCACGATAATTATAATAGGATATGAGAATGGAATATTTTTTATTATTATTAGAATATTATATTATGTGCGAGATGTTGCTTGATGACGACATAGATATGGTACCGATATGCTGCTTGCATTTTAATAAATTATTTATTCATGTCGCGATCTTATTGATTTGGATATACTTGGATGTATTTGGGGATTTGGGAAAGAAAATATATAGAATCACAATACAATGATACATGTTATCGTCGATGCGATCGATAGACTGAGCTCGATAGATTGTCCGTGCTTACGGCGTGCCGGACGCTTCCTGCGGCTGACAAAAACCGGAAGTACCGATGAGGAATAGTAAATATCAGTCGACAATGCGTGACGCCGCCGGTGATGAAAGTTGAGAAAGAACTGTAGGCGCTGCACGCGTCAATCTTCTAGGTGAGATAAACCGTCATCGTTCCTGCCGTCACGTTGAAAGATTAAAACTGCTGTCTCGAATCTTTTGCTCTCGTTCGATGCACTTTTCGCGTATCACAACTGATCTTACCGTAACGATGCACTGCGGAAACCAAAAGCGGCTGTTTAGCGAATTCTCCAACATTTCTTATAATGTAACGTTAACATAGGCATTTTAACTTTGCTACACATTTTTTTATAAAGTTTTCATATTTTTTCGCTAAACATTCTATATCAAACGGATATTATATGGTTCGCTCAAGTTGCTCATTAATAGAGTACAAATTAAAAGTAGAAAATTACATATCTTGGAAAATTAAATATTACATACTTTTTATATATTTATCGGAAAATTTAGAAAAATTATGAAAATAGGAAGACTCAAGATTAATTTAGGATTAACTTTATCGAAAGCAAACACATTTAAAAAAATTCAGAGTTGAAAATCTCAAAACTATATATTCAAATATATATTTTTACATTGTATCGTGAGCTTTTCGGATCCTATCTGGCAACGCGCTTCTTCATCGCGTGTGCACGTGCAATTTCCTTATGCGAAATTATCGTGCTCACAAATGAATTTTTCCGTGAACAGCTTTGCAAATTTGTAAAGCGTACCGCGGCAGGATGCTTTTATCGTATTGGTTTGAAAACAGGAAACGGAAACGGCGACGTGCTTATGCCGAGATAACTCGCGAAAACGACGAGACCGACTGGTCTTGGACGGCGGTTTTTCTAGGTCACGTTGATGAAGCGAAACCCATGCGATAGCACGCTCGACTCGTTTCTCCTCGTGGCGATAATGATAATATTAACATCTAGTTCAATTGAAGCGCTCATTTACGCGGAATTGATTCGTTCGCGCGGAATAGCATCGCGACTTTAATCGCAATCGGAGGTGAACCAAAGCTCAGAGGGAGTTCGGAGTTTATCGACGATAAATTCCCCTCGTTTATCCGGCGGAACGCTAAGCGCACGCTTTCGATAACCGAGCAATGCACTTCCTTTCCATCCTCCCCCGGTGCATCTATTTTCGGGTGCACGTGGTGCTGCGGCTTCGCTCCCTCGTGTACCGCAGACTCATCGTCGATAGTTATGTCTCGGAGCGCTTGCTCCGATCAGGGGCGAATTATTTCTGGGAAACCGACTGATGGCAGACACTTTGACTAACAATAAAACTTGAAAGGAAGGAAGGAAAATGTTTTATCGCGAGAGACAAATTCCTCGGAAAAGAGATCGTCAGACTAAATTGAACGATAAATAAATCAAAGCTAAAATTTAAGTTGGAGGTTTGAATAAGATTGAAATATAATAAGGAAAATAAGAAAAAGCTAAAAATGTTACTAGTCTGAAAAAAAGCGTTTGTTATTATTATTTTATATATTATTATTATTATTGTTAATTATTATATTATACTCGCACACTAGGCATAATATATTTTTATCATATATTTTTAATAATTTCAAAATTATTTTTCTTGGATGAAAAATAGAGGACAGGTTCTCCCTACTGCAATAATTCACCGCGTGAAAGGTTTTATATTAAACTGACAGATAGTAGGCCAATCTCTCAATTTTTTACGAAGAAAATTTTTAAATATTATTCTGTGCAATCGTGCGCGTTTGCGTTGCGGAAAGCGCCGAGCAGCGATGCATGCAAGGGCAAATTGGATTGGATGGTGGGAACTGCCAGAGTGCGGCGATAAAATTTACTTTGTCTCGCATTCGGGAACGAGCTCGCTCGAGACGCTTTATACATTTTATAGCACTTTGCCCGCAACGTGTATCCGTTCGGTAGGAGAATTTTTAAAAGAGGGGGGGGGGACATCCTGTATTCTCTCTTAAACTTAGTTACGACAGAATTAAAAGAGAGGAAGAAACCAGGTGTTTTTTTTTTTCTCTCATTACATTTTCACGCTCTTGCAGTATTTTTCATATTTTTTTATTCTTGTCTTATTTTGCCTTCAAACGCCGATGATTGACGTACGATTCTAGGACGTAAACGTAAAGAAAGATTTGAAAAAGAAAGAAATCGATTATCCCCCAAGCAGATTTATATTACACGGCTTGTTATTCTCGCGCGCTCGTGGAAATTTGCGTGCTACGGTATCACGCGTGATTGCGAAGGTCAACGACGGGGGTACCGCCAACCGAGGACCCCTGCCGGGGCTCGAAGGAAAAGGGTGGCACGCCGTGGTGGTGCACGCCCGGAGTTATTGATCGCGCCGAAGGACGCGGATCGGATTCGGGACTCACCGTGGTCGCCTCGGAGCCGCCAGTTTCACACATTTCTCCCCAAGGTACCCTTGCTAGATCTTTACGCCATTGAGATCACTATGATCTAGGCCTGGTCTGAGAGGATTCGATGCTATTCTCGATGACGATAAATAAGAAAAACTCCACGTAATGCATTTGCGTCACCAAAATTCAATCTTTTAAAACCTAGCTTTTCCTTAGATATTTCAATTTTTTAGTTACACGTGAAATTACTTGCAAAATTATACCAGAATTATCCATAGAGACAAAAGAGAAATGCATTACAATTAAGTATACAGTAAAAGGACCAGAATTGTTTTTTTTTTTTTCATATTAATCGCAGCGAAATAACCATGTCATAAATTAATATATATGGCATTACTAGTTGAAAAATAAAAAATGCATTGTTTTAATTGATTTTTCATTTTATAAGATGAACAAGAATCGTATACGAAGATAAAGATTGTAATAAAATGCTTTTTTTTTATACACAAAACAACACACAGTTATATTATCAAATATATTCTTTGTAAAATAAAAATTTTAAGAGTAACGATCGATTCGATTACTACCTGCAAAAACAAATGTTTTTTATTGGTCTATCGCTATCGAATTTCACTTTCGGGTTAAGGATAATTAAATTCGATGAAATTACTCTTTTTTTTCTCTTATAGGTATCGTTATGTTATATCGGCATGTATATAACGACTTTATTGGATCTATAAGTAAGCAAATATATTCTGATCGTTGTCGAGGTAAATGATTGCTATTCCTACCCGCAATCAAAGTTGCGCAAATATTTACCGATATTAATGGGCGGGAAGTACAAAGGATTCGTATAGAACTTTTATTAACAACCGTATCGGATCACGACGATTGCACGGTTGTAATACGATTACACGAACAATTATTGATACAAATTATACGGATAAAAATTTTATACAAATCTACATTCATATATATCTGCCTTTTATTAAAATTTAAAATTATTTCAATCTTTGCGAATGTAAATTAAATCGCGTAAAATAGTAATACAACGCGTGAAAAAATCGGCGATTTTCTTAAAGATTAATTAGACGATTAGATGTTTTATAATTCGATTTAGGTCAATCGATTGAACCTCACATTGGATAGTTTAATGAATAGCCAACACTCGTAATAATCAAAGAGGCTGACGTACCGAAAGTGGGTCGACGTGTTTCATTTCCAGACTCGATTTCAAAGTACCTATCGCGAACCCTCCTTTGTAAAGGGAAACGGCAAACAAGGTTTGTCGACCCTACTAAGATAAACAGAATCGTTATCGATCATAATCGATCGACCGAGATATTTCGGCGCGGATTATTATGTTTGCCCCTGCGTTCGTTTCGTTTGTCGGAAAGGGAAAATCTTACACAAGTTTCTATCGAAGTGTATTGACACGCGTTCAATTCTCTCGTTCAAACGATACTGATCGATGGACGTGACCCACTAACGAAATAGAACGAGGAATCGACATCCCTTTTTGCGCCTCCACCTGAGATACCAACGTCAACAACTTCGTGTACAGCGAGAAGCTTGAGAGGCTTAAGACTGAAAAGAGCGCTGGTAAATAACGTCATGCATCCTTAAACGTCAGATGTCAAACGTGTTTAGACGATACATTCAGAAACACATCTCTTTTTATATAACTTTAATATTATTTTAATCGACTTGATTTTATCAGTATCTAGCGCAACGATAACATTATATATTACATAATGTGAAAATTTATTCATGGAAAAGTACATTATGAAATTTGAACACGCAAATTGTGAAAGATTAATCAACGAAACATTTCTAAACTTTAGAAGCAAATTGTGTAAAGTTTAGAATTTTCAGCGTTAAAAGATGAAGTAAAGCGTGAAGATACGATGTTATAAACAGTACAGCGTTATACGTGCTATGGCGAATATTTATGCACGAATGCACACAGTTTACTTCTCTTCCAAGAAGGAGCGCCGAAACTTCCGGAGCTCCGCCACCTGGAACGCGTCCTTTCACGCGTATTTTTATATCTCCGCTTGTTTTCTCAAGGGTTCTCCAGACCGCGTCGCGGCTTATCTCGAGCAGCCCATCTCCACAAATCATATCTCGAGATCATTTCTATTGAAAATGACTCTCTAGCTATGTGTCGAGACGTATCATATCGCTCTGCGATATGAAACGTATATTTTGCGCAATGTAAAAAATTAATATTCAAAAATTAGTTAACATTATTGATTCATATATATAAGGTAGATTTAAGTTTAAAAAGATACAATAAAAAAAGATAATATAATAATATAATAAATCTTGATAAATAATATAATGATATAAAAAATAATATTAGATAAATAATATTAAAAAAAGAAATAGAAATTATATCGAGCCGGGTCGAAGATATTTCAATTGGACCAGAGTATTCTACAATTTTTACCAGCTGTCAAATTGACAGCTCGCGCAAGGAAACGGAGCGTGAGCATAAATGACTTTGCGCCATGACGAAGGAAAATTGCGACATGATTTACAACGCTATCTCGAAAAACGGTTCATTAATTCCCGTTTCCTTTATTAATTCCGATTTCGTCGAGGTTCGCGTCGTTCGCCGATTAATCTTGCCGCCACCGGGGACTGCCTGTTTTGTCGCATCCCCTCGTTATCATACCGTGGCAATTCCAGGCGAGTGCATCTTGTAATAACGAACATTCGCGAGCGCATTCGGCTGGCGTACGGAAGGGAGGTCCGACGCGAAACTGGGTTGCACTACTACTTCGGTCGCGAGACTAACTGCCGACAGGGCAGAGAGCTCACACGCGTGTATATACGCGTGCACCATATCGCGTACCTACATACATACGTCCCGAGGGAGAAGGCGATGGGGGAAACTCGATCGTCGATGCATGCGCCTATCGAGTGTCGTCGCGATTAATCGGGTTACCGGGGCTGATGGGATACACCCGCCGCCCACATATTTTCAGACCCCTATCGGATTATCGCGGATGATTACCGCGAGCTAATCATACTACACGAAGAATTCAACCTTTTTGTTTGCGCTAACATAAGGACGGAGAAAGATGAAAAAATTCACTCGATCCGCTTGTGTTTTATATCTCGCACACTTGATGCCAGAAAATGAGGCTATCTCTCGTAAATCATACAAAATTAATATTATATTTTATGAACAAATATTGTCATCTTTGCAAGAGAGATATTTGTATAAATATTCCATTTTAATCTTGATGAGCTATTAGGAACATCTTGTATAATTAAATTATATAATTGTTTTATATTTGAAAATTATAAGGATTATATACTATTTTTTTTTATTTTGCGATTCGATGCTACAAGATTTTGCTGTATTTGAGATGAATTTATATATCGATCTTTTATAGAGTTTTCAACAGTCTTTTAAACATCATTCGCCGTGCTATAAAACGTCTACAAAGCTTTCTCCATTTTAGGAGAATAGATCGCGTCCGCTTCTCGTTTTTCGCACAGCGAGAACGCTGTTCGCGAATCGGACGAGGCTTTTAAAACCTCCCATTCTTATGAGGTCGAGGCGGAGAAAAGCGACGGCACTTTGTTAACGGCCGGAACTCGTTTCACGAAAAGGGCACGTCTTTTCGCAGGAGTACGTGAATCGATACCACGAGCAGAAAATGGGCGCCTTGGAGCCGCATGTGTTCGCTCTGGCGGAGGCGGCGTACAAGTCTCTGCAGGACACCGAGACCAATCAGTCCTGCGTGATATCGGGCGAGAGCGGGGCCGGCAAGACCGAGACCACCAAGTTCATCCTGCAGTATCTGTGTTCGGTCACCAGCAACGTCGACACGTGGGTGGAGCAGCAGATCCTGGAGGCCAATACCATCCTCGAGGCATTCGGTAACATCCGTTGATAATATCCGCGTAATCACGTGTGCGCGCGCTTTCTCATCCTACGCGAATTTATCGCGATCTCAAAGAACTTTTGTTTCAAAAATCTCTGCCTCGATTCATGTTATTAGAATATAATGGATCAGTCTTTTATTACTAGTCAAATTAATGAAAGTAATGAAAATTAAGCAAACGAGATAGCAATTTCTTGATTATATCGCGATGATACGGCCACAATGGCGGGCTTGATTAACGGTTATAATATAATATTATCATATTATGATATTGCAAGTTTGTTAAGAGATTGGTCTTTATATTGAATAGAAAAACAAGGGATGTATATCATATTTACAAAGCCATTGTTTTAGCGTTGCGTACTATAATTTTAGACTTAATTATACATTAATTATACATAGATATGTGGTGTTAAAGATTGAATATTTGTAATAAACTATATAATCATACACGATACATTTGCACTAATAAGAAATTAATATCAAGTTAGTCGAGAAATCTGTGTTGGAAAATTTGCTTAAAAATAATTTGGAACATTCTATATTATACATAATAAATAATAGAAGTAATAGAGTAGATCAGTAGATTATAATCGCGTTTGGAGGTAAACAGTCGCGATTCATCAGTAGCAGTCCTAGCTACGAGCGTGGCGGCAACTCAGGTGTTAAATGCAACGGCAAGGGGAACAAAGTGGATCACGGGGCAAAGAGGTTTTATGAATAAAACACATCTGTCTAGTGTCGTTCATTCATCTCATGGAATAACGACGTCAGAGTCTTCTTCAAGCCCGATTTTTATTTTTAGAATTTAACCTCGTTTTCATCCGAATTCCGTATTTAAACGAATCTGGAAAATCTAGAAAATCTCTTTGATGAGAATTTCAGATTCTCTGATATTTTAATAGAATTAGAACGTTTGAGTTAATGTCAATTGACGAGAAAATAAATTTAATTTGTGAAAATAGGCAACGCGAAGACGGTGCGAAACGACAACAGTTCGCGCTTCGGCAAGTTCATGCAAGTGTGCTTTGACAACAAGTGGATGATCAAGGGATGCATCATTCAAGATTATCTGCTGGAGCAGAGCCGTATCACTTTTCAGAGCCCGGAGGAGCGCAATTACCACGTATTTTATAAGCTGGTTGAGGCCGGCACGAGAGACAAGGAATTCGCAGAGCAATATAAGCTACGACCGGCCAGTCATTACAAATATCTCAATCAGTCCGGCTGCGTAAAGATCGATGGAATTTCTGATTCTAAGAAACTCGACGCTCTCAGGCTCGCCTTCAACGTGCTTCAGGTATGACTATTGCTCTCTCGTCGAAAGAAATTTACTGCTATTATTATCAAATAATTAATCGCTTCCTCTTCGTACCACGTAGGTTGCGCCGGAAATGTGCGAAGGCATCTTTCGGGTATTATCGGCCATCTTGTGGCTTGGAAATTTAAACTTCGAAGACATCGACGGCGAAAGATGCGAGTTGTCGACGGAGGACAGGAACATAGTCGACACGGTGGCACCTTTATTGGGTCTTCAAGTGGAGGATCTCACCAGGGTAGTGCTGATACGGCAGATAAATGTTCGCGGTAATATAACAGAGATCCCGTTGAAAGTGCAGGAGGCACGAGAGAACAGGCACGCAATGGCGAAGGCGCTTTACTCGCGCACTTTCGCCTGGCTCATCAATCACATCAACAATTGCACGAATCCAGGCCAGGATAGCTCGCGATTTCTCGGGGTGCTCGATATCTTCGGCTTCGAGAATTTTGCGTTGAATAGCTTTGAGCAACTCTGCATCAATTACACAAACGAGAAACTGCACAAGTTCTTCAATCACTATGTTTTTGCGTTGGAACAGGAACTTGTAAGTTTATCTTTGAATTTTTTGTATATTGAAGAACTTTTATTCCCGTAAATATCGAATAAATTTGCTTTCAGTATCGTCAAGAGGAGATCCAATATTCCCACATTACATTCACGGATAACACAATGTGCCTCGAACTGATCGAAAAGCCTCCGCGATGTGTTCTCAAATTATTGACCGAGCAGTGCCATATGCCGAAAGGCTCGGATTTGGCCTATCTGACAAATTTGCATGCGGAATTCGAGAATCACCCGTGCTATGTGAAGGGGGATGATCGACGAAAGTGGGAAAAGGAATTCGGAGTCAAACACTATGCCGGTTGCGTGACGTACACCGTCAAGGGTTTCGTCGATAAGAATCGGGACGATCAGCAGGACGTATTCTTCGATTTCATGTCTAGGAGCACCAACGAATTCGTCCAGGAAATCTCCGTTTATCAAGATCTATTGGGATACACCGTTGCGCGCGCAACCGGCAGCGCGTCCACGACAATGTCACGAGGAACGTCGAAAGGCAAGCCGACTCTCTGTGACTCTTTCCGACATCAATTGCAAGCCTTAGTAGACGTATTGCAGGCGACGACACCGTGGTACGCGCGCTGCATTAAGCCGAATATGGAGAAGATAGCCAATCACTACGACGAGAAGCTTGTGCTGGACCAGCTCAAGTATCTCGGCATGTTGGACATTATACGCATACGTAAAGAGGGTTTTCCGATACACATGTCATTTCACGACTTTGTCGCAAGGTATCGTTGCCTAGACAAGGGCCGAGCCTCTCTCTCCTGCGACGAGAAGGAAGCAGTCAGATATTTGATCAGCAAACAAGGTATACCGCAAACTGAATGGCAGATCGGCCGAACGAAAGTATTTCTGAGAAGCTACGTGCACGAGCCTTTAGAAGACTCTAGAAATCAAATGGTAACGAGAAACGCCATCGTAATACAGAAGATTTGGCGAGGATATGTCAAACGGCGAGGTACATTTCCCCTTCCATAAATCTTTATTTTATTTATAACTTTATTATAACCTTTTAATTTTTATTCGAAAATCATTTCTGTAAAATTATTTGATATATAACAAAATTATTTGTTTTTATTTATTTGAAAATTATTATATAATTGTTATATATTATTCTCTCTCTCTCTCTCTCTCTCTCTCTCTCTGACAGAATACAAGCGTATAAGGGAGGCAGCACTCAAGGTGCAACACGCGTATCGCGGCTGGAAGCTACGGATAATGTTTATTCGAAAGCGCAGAGCTGCCATAGTGATCCAAAGTCATCTACGAGGTGTCTTTGCGAGGGAGGTGGCTGCTGCGCTACGTGAAATGAGACGAGTCGATGAGGAGATGAGAAAGAGGGAGCGTCTGGAGAAAGAACGAAGATTGATGGAAGACAAGAAAGCGTTGGAGGAAAGCCAGAGGTAAGAGAAAACGGGGGGTCTATTCGATTTTCTCAAGCATTAACTGCCTTTTACAGTAGTAATAGTAGTATTTGCGTAAGAAAACCGATGCAATCGATTAATTATGTGCAATCGATTGCATACGTTAATGGCTTGTGTCCCTTTTGTAGCACGCAGTACAATGGTATTGTCGGGATGGAATCTGGGTAAGTTCTCAACGACGGAAGCTCGTGTGACGTGCGCGTATAAATGGCATGCATTCGTTGCATGCCAAGTATCGTTGCGTATAGTTCAACGTTTGCAAGCGTTATCGCTTCCTAATTTGATATGTAGACGGGAGCATGACAATATATATGTATAAATACCGATTGTGATACTAAATATTACACATTCAAACATTAGATATTTTTAATTGAGAAAATGAATGCGAAAAATACGCAACAGCCTAAAGCTCGATTCTTTAATATTTACTAAAAGAGCCACATATAATTACGGTAATCATTATAAACCGTAGATGTTACATTATATTATTTGTATCTATAGCTAAAATTTATTCTCAATCTTTGTTGAAATTGCTTATTCTGAAGTTTTTTTAAATTCGTTATTTCAAAATTTTATTTTTTTATTTATACCATTATGGCATCGAATGCATCACAATCATGATTAAATCTTTATACGAAATTTATTTTAATCGTAACACTTGTACAGCACTTGCATCTTCGGCAAGAATGGTAATTGACCATAATGTACAATGTAATTTCTTTTCGATTTTGCAGAAAAGCGCAGGAAGAGATTGCCGCCTTGTCGCAGATGGCCGAGCAAATGAACTCGAAGATGGCCGCTGCTTCAGACTTGCAATCGGTAGACCTCGACAATCTATTCTCCTTTCTGTCCGACGTACAATCGACCAAGAGCAATCAAATTATCGAGGAGATCGGCGAGCAAATGGACGAACTGGTCGAGGATCTAGACGTGGAATTAGAAACTGTCATTCAACAAGAGATGGAATTAAATTCCAAGGCCGCCGATTCGTCGAAAGTCACTTCTCCTGTCAACGGACAGGAAATGACATCTCTGCAGCAACGATTACCTAGTGCGAATAACTTGAGTACTAGCAAACTCGGTCAACCGAGTCTTCCGGAACCTACGGAACCGCCTCCACCGCCACCTCCGCCGGCGCCACCTTTAGCGATGAATGGCGACTCGTCGGATGATAACGGCGAACCGATCTACGAGTCTGTGTTGCCGCGCGAGGAGAACGATCTCGACAGTCCAATTGTTCACAATGGCAGTCATAGTCCTGGTCAAATGGTTAACGGCGAATCTTGCGGGTCTTTGCCGCCGAACAACAAAATGACTAAGGAAATTGCCGGTAGTCCGCCATCCAGGCCGGAATCAACGAATTCTGCTGGCCATCATCATCCGCATCATCATCATCATCATCATCAGACGATGATACCCCAGGCGCAACAAAACGGTCACGATCAACCGCAATCGCAACCGCAAGTGTCGCAGCAGTTGCCGGTCGAGCGTGAGCAGCGACGCAAGTGCCGCGTGGAACGCAAATTGCAAGAACTTGAGGACAAGAAGGAACAGGAGAACGAGGCTACTTATCACGATATCGTCGAGTTTGCACAAAACTACTTCAACAGCCATGAACGTTCGCCGGAAGGCACTATAATGGCCACGCTAACGAGAAAGTCACGCGGCAAGAGCATCGAGTACATCCCGAAATACGAGATGGTTACGTACTACAAAGGATCCAGCATCCCGAATTCACATATTCATATGTATGATCCCGATAACGTGAACGTTGCGTGTTCTGTATTCAGGGTAAGTAGATATATTTACTATTATTTACTTAATTTAAATAATGTATAATTAAAATATATTATAATTTATAGCATATTGTATTATAGCATATTATGTTGTCTCTTTTTTCTCTCTTAGGATTTGTGTAAATATATACGCGGCGAGATGAAGCTGGATCAGGAGATAGCCACGATCCAGAGTATCATCGCTTACGGGATCGAGCGGGAAGAATTACGAGACGAAATTTATGTGCAATGCATGCGTCAGGCGACCAACAATCCCAACGCCGAATGGGCGGAACGCGTATGGTTGCTGTTATGCTTAGCGATCGTCGCCTTCCAACCGAGTAAACTACTCTACAAATACTTTGTCTCCTTCCTAAAGAAGAATCTTGCTCTCGAGGGCAAGCTAAGACAATACGTACAATGGTGTGTGGATAATTGCAAGAATACCAAGGTATCTTGCAGACAACATCCACCGTCCACCGTAGAGATTGCCGCTATGAGACGATTGGGCACTATAGTCTGCCGATTCTTTTTTCTGGACGGAAGAACAAAAGCAATTGACGTACATCCGACAGACACGGCCGCCGACGCTGTCGCCAAACTTGGAGAAAAATTGGGTCTTCGGTCGTTGGAAGGTTGGGCCATCTATCAGAGCAGACCGGACGGAGAGGAACACGTGCGGGCTCATGATTATCTGTACGACGTGATCGCTGCATGGGAGATGTAAGTGTAATAATGATTTGCATAGTAATTCGAAATGAGAGCTTATTATACAAATTATAAACACTTGTTTTAGGAAACAATGCAAATTAAATACCGCACAATCGACGTTCTCAACTTTGCGACGCGGTAATAACGCTACTCTAGGCAGCGGCGACAATCGCTTCGTTTTCAAAAGAAGATTATTCCGTAATCCGAGAGAAATCTCGCAGGATCCCGTCGAGGTTAATATGCTGTACGCGCAAGCGGTCTACAACGTCGTAAAGGTACAATATGGATATGAGATTTCTTAGCTATAATATCTGCTAAGAAACTTTTATGTTTTCTATCGTTATTTATCTCTCTTCCAGTGCGACGATTTTCCGGTATCTGAGAAAGTGGCGCTGCAATTAGCAGGATTGCAGGCGCAAGTATCTCTCGGAGATCCCAAGGATAACGACAGACTGGATTACTACAGTGAGGTGGATAGCTTTCTACCTTACAGAATCAGTCGCGCCCGCGGCGACGATGTTTGGGTGCCGATTATAGCGCAAGCGCACCGGCAATACGGAGCCGGGCGCAAGGAACTGGCGGCCAAAGTTCTATATCTGTCTTGCGTGATGCAGTATCCTCTCTATGGCACGACAATGTTCAACGTTACTTACCGAGGATATTGGTCTTATGGCAACCAATTGATTCTTGGTATCAATTGTGACGGTCTCATGCTAATCAAGCCAGACGATAAGTTCGTTTTATCCGAATATCGTTATCAAGACGTCGAGAGCATCATGTTGGATCCGAGCGACTCATTTATCACGCTTTCGCTGCTACGACATAATCCCGATAGTTCGCACAAATGTTTCGTATTCGAAACCTTGCAAAAGAACGAGATTGGTAGTCTGATAGTTAGCTATTGTTCGGCGCTGGCAGGTTGGATCACGGAGAATGAGGTGCCCACGAAGAAACTCAAGTGTATCACCAACGAGGATCGTATCAGGCTTTATCACAATCTGGTCAACTGTCGGCGAACGCTAGTCGATTCGGAAATCCTGAGGAAACCGCAAGATTCCGGCGGCGGTTTTCTCAGGAACACACTCCGCAGATTGTCTAAACATCGGATAGAGAAACTCAGGCAAGAGCATGGAAGCGCCGATCACGGCGAGACCTATAAAGGCTTCCCGTACGCTTATTGGGCATTCAGTAGACAGCAAATACCACAGAGTTTGTCGAAACTGCCAGATCCCGATGAGCAGATCTCTTTAAATATCTTCCAGTTAATTCTGACATACGCGGGACTCGGCCAGAACGGCGACACGGTCCGCAGAGTCGAAGACGAGCACGTGAATCTCATACAGACTGTCATGGAACGTTGCATACGAAAGGAAAACTTGTTGGGCGAACTATATCTACAATTGATCAAGCAAACGACGGATCATCCGGATCCGAACAATCGTGTTAATCTGCGACACTGGGCATTGCTCTCGCTTGCGTGTTCCGTGATTCTTCCGCCTCAGAAGGTTATACGTAAATACTTGATCGCGCACTTGAAGCGATGCGCCAGCGATTACGTCACCGAGGAGGGCAAGTACGCGAGATTCGCGGAAAAGTGCCTTTATAAGACTCAGGGCACCCGAAGACGGCAATGGCCACCGAGTCGCGAGGAGATCATGTGCACCATTAATCGCCGACCGATCTACGCGAGATTCCACTTTATGGATGGCCAATACCACGCCGTCGAGTTTCATCCATCTGCAACTGCCAGGGACGTTATGGAGATTATCAAGACTAAGATGGGACTCGAAGAAACTGCTATGGGTATGTTGTTTCTTTTATATCATTTTGTATTTTTTTCAATACTGGGGTATCTTTAAATACTAAAATTTAGAAATATCGCAAATTTTTTAAATTTTATTTCTTTTAATTCAGTCTCATGCTAAATTTACTCGACTGATATTTATTATATTTTCTTTTTACATCAGGCTACGCGATTTACGAGGTGTTGGGACCGACCGAGCGATCACTGATCCCTGAGGAGAAGATAGCCGACGTCATGTCCAAGTGGGAACGATATAGGACATCGCAGCAGAATCAACAGAGCTCACAACGGAAGCACGTGCATCACTTCTTCCTATTCAAAAAACATTTGTTCCTAGACCAATACATGAACCTAGATGATCCGGTGGAGAAGGAGCTGCTGTATCATCAAGTGCTACATGATTTGCGCGCCGATCGGTTTCCCATCACTGAGAAAGAAGCTGTGAGTTACTGTTTTAGCAATGGAACATCTTTGTACTTAATTTTCATATATTGCTTCTTCTTTTCTATTTTTCTTTTCTTCTTTGTTACATCTTTGCATTATTTATCTTTTCTTTTACTTCTTTTACATTAATATAATTACTGTATAATTATATTAATTATCCCATTTGTAATTTTTTTTTTATCCTCTTAATTTAATCAATAGCATAAAAAAGTTTTTTAATCTTAATCTTAATAAAGTGTTGTCTTTATTATGCCGTTCTTGGCTATTTTCTATCACGAGATTAATGTCACTCACAGATGATGCTGACGGCTTTGCAAGCGCAACTGGAAATGAGCGACTGCCAAGATACCATATCGGAACAAGATTATCGAACGATATCGAGCCACTGCCTACCGTCGAGACTCGTGCCGTGCTTGTGCGTGGACGGTGTACGCCAGCATCATCAATCTTTGCGCGGAATGACACCACCCGAAGCAAAGAAGGCTTTCCTGAATCTCATCCAATCATGGCCGTTGCACCGAGCGACGATATTCGACGTGATGCAATCGTTCACCTCAAATTGGCCTCGCGTATTGTGGCTGGCTGTTGATCAGCAGGGTCTTCATCTTCTGGAACACCGTTCCAGAAACGCACTGTGTACTTACGAATATAGCAGTATTCTAAGTTATACACCCGCCGTTAATTGTCTGATGATCATTACCGGTACGGATAAGAAGCAGAGCAAGGTTATTCTCACCACGTCGCAGGTAATACGACTAAAATGGCCAAATATCATTATTGCAAACTTTAAATCATACATTTTTATCTTTGTATATATTTAATTGCCATTTAATTTCGATCGTTCTCCAGGCTCATCAGATAGCGAATCTAATACGCGAGTACATGGAGGTGCTTCAATCGCCACCGGAAATACCGAGACGAGACTCGACGATGACTGCTCAACAATTTGCCGCTCAACAGCAGCAGCAACAGCATCAGCAACCGCCAGCAACACTGCCGTCATCTACGACCGGCGGACGAAAGTCCCGACCCGCTTCGATGTTACACAGAGGTGCTCCGGTAATACAATCGCAAGCTAGTTAGAATGGTTAGATAAATCTCTTGCGGGAGTTATATATTATAAAGACAGTTTCCCTTCAACCTGGTACCTAAATCGCGCCGCACGTTCCATAATTATAAAGTGCCATAAACTCGAGATACGCACACAGCGGTATTATCTATTTTATCAAAGAATACGCATAATTCTAATATACATATATATACATACATATATATACATATTATATTGTATAATTTTAATCCCCGTACACACTGCTCCGTCTTGTTCACTGCGATAAAGCGTTCCCTGTATGCGTAACTATATCTTAACAATATTCTTTGAGAGATTAAAACACGTAGAATGACGTTTAGTATCAGGTTGTGGCGAAAAGAGAACGGTTTACATTTAAACGCGCGTCGTCACGTGCGTCTAACGTTAAATGCAGTTGTCCGATCCCCTCGCATATCAGACCTAGACAAGATCTAACGTCTGAGAAGCGTATCGTAAGGATATCAGAAAGGCATATCCTAATTTTTCGAACATCTTTTCGTTTTGAAAAGCTACATTTAACGCTAGAGCGTAAGTTACTTGCATTAAATAACAGTAATTAATATAATTAAAAAAATAATAACAATAACGCTGGGGCAATTACAATAGTCGACGAATATAATAAAATAGTTATAATAACGGTAATAATTAATTATGGTGATAAATAACCACATCTATTTGTATGACGACAATCGTCAAGGTGGACGCGAATAGTTGCATTTCACTCGTTTGTTTCCTTCGTCTCCTTCGATTGTCACCCTCAACCTTTTTGGATGTGTTCTCTTCTCCTGATTTTACCGTATAAATATCACGGTTTTTCACGATTTGATCGTTCTATTTCTCGATTTTCCATACTTTCCCCCGTTTCTCCAACGTTTCTTCTACTCATTTTGTATGCAAAATCATTACGCCGGAATAAAATGATTTTTCTAAGTAGAATGCGATAGTGTCGATTTGTGTGGCGTGAATATTATATAAATATATAATATAATTTATATATATATATAATATATAAGCTGATCGACTTTTAAGTAGATATGCCTATATTATATATATAATTATAATTATAATATTAATGCATATTTATATAATATATTAATTATATTTTTGATATATTAATCAAAGATTGTTACCATCGCGTTTGCGGGTTTAAGTACCTGTTGGATCGCCGTAAAATTTCTACAGAAGAGTGTGTGTATCCCATATGCGTTTACGAGGACATGTTTTACATTCGCTGGCGTCTCGTTTTTCTTTTTTGGCACTTGCAATTAAATCGCTGAGATTCTTTAGGGATACGTAGAGAGAAAGACGGCGTGTCCGCTAAAAATGAGCATATTGTCGCTCCGAAAATAATCCGGAGGAAAAATGCTTCTCGCAGAAAAAACACAGGTATCTCGTGCACCGGGTGGTTTCTAACACACTATAGCTTGTGTGATTATCTCTATATAAGAAAACACCGAAAGCGTTAATACACACGTGTGACTCAGTTCTTCAAGCATCTTAAATTTCTTCTTCCTTCTTTTTTCTTTTCGAGAAGTGAGAAACGGCCGTTTGCCGTGTCACAAGACCGACGATCGTTCGTCACCATCGTGTAAGTTACGACATTAGAGTTTCACCAAGTACATTTGCGAAATAATACAACGTAACATTGCAGAAAATAATTTTACAACGACAATTGGATCGAATAAAGACATAGATCGCCAGTCCCTGACACGCTACATAAATCAAATACATATATATATATATGCAACAAAGTATACATCATACATATCATTTAGCTATACGATATGATAACCGGATATTCCCTCCGATGTATATAAAAAAAATTAAGATGTCAAGATGCGAGATCATCATAATGAAATAGCGTATCGTAATTGTCTCTAAAACACAGATCCGGAAAAAATATTTGGAGGGAACACATCGGCCTTCAGAGCACCAGATAATAACACTTGATAATCTAATATATTGATATTTACTACGGTTAACGAGATATAAATAGAAGAAATCGATAATGTTCATTCATTGTAACATTCGCTAATCGTAACATCTCTAAGAACGCGAGTGCAGAACGGGCCTCGTTTTTTGGCAACCAACTTGCACACAAGTATAGAGATTCGCATTGTAACTTTTCATAAAACTATAAAAGGATTACAAAGTTTTTCGCTCAACAAGAGAAAGTTTCTTGTTGATGAAATATTGTTTATAAATTATACTAATTAATTAAGAGACGCTAACAAAGTTCCCGAGAGCCGGTTTTACACGCGCGCGTTTCTCTCTCTATCACAATTATACTTATAAATATGTCTATAAATTATACTTTTTTCAGACTTCTCTCGATTCGGCCACTCTTTGTGCACATCATGTCTACACGCACATTCGCACCCACATAGATTTATATACCGGTATCTATTGCGACGAGATAGGCTTGAGTATAATTCAAGTGTAGAATCAGCATATATGATTGATAACGCAGTGAACGTCGGGGGAAAAAAAAAAATCTTCACGAAGATGACGATCACGCAGAGATTTTGGATGATTTTTCTTTTTATTTTCTCTCCCGACGATTAGTTATGCGTATTTGCTACCTGTATGCGTGATTCGTTCAGGATTAGAGGCCCTGCACTGTCGCGCGAGCGATGCACTCCCAAATATAACACTGTACAAAAAACTAACAAACGCTATTCGAAATTACGCAAAATAGATTACGCGCGAGTCCTCGCGCGAAATAACACGAGACGATATTTTTATTATCGAATATATAAGCATCGTGTGTTATGCGTATAAAAAAATACATGTTTGCGTTTCGTATGCGATCGCTGAATGTGTGTCACGTTTCCGCTGGTTTTCCCGCGGATATAAGTGTGGCGCAAATAGAGTGCGGATTAAGTCTCTCTACAACGGATATAATAAATATATAATATAATATTTAATATAACACTCACAACATAATTTTATATATATATATCCGGAGCTAATAATTTAGGGGAAGGAGGAGACATATTCCTAAAACAAAGCGATTCCCGATCTTTCATTTTAGATAATATACACGAGTTTTCCTACATAAAGCCGTTTAACGACAAATAACGTAATACATATCTTATATATTTCGCTACATACAAAGTTAACGATCAGTTAGCGCAATTATATAATGCAGCGATCATCTCCAATTATTTTTTCAGAGTATTTCGCTCAATTTTACCCGTCAGATTCCTATATTTCGATTATTGCGGACGGCTGTTTCCTTGATTTCTCTCTTTTTGTCCATTTGGTTATCGGAGGAAGTTGTACGTTCGATTCAACGTTAAACTATGCATTGATATAATCTGCGAGATATTCTAAGAAATTCGATTATCGCAAGGTACATTCAGTTAAGCTATTAAGATATTAAGTAATACATAGACACAAATAATCTAATCTTTTTATTTTTAATAATAAATTTAGTTCTAATTAAATGTAGATCGAAAACGCAAAATTATGTAAGTGCTAAAAAAACAATTTTCAGAATTAAGGAAAAAATCTATATAAAAAAAAAACACGAAAAATTATTATAGTTACACAAAAATTGAAATAAAAACAATAATCAAAGTACACATTTGTAGATCATAAAAAAAAATTATAAAAAAACATCAAAAAGTGTAAAAGTATTAAAAATGAAACATTGACATTCGTACATTGAGTTTTGCATTTCCGGTTTACAAATATCTTCTACGATATCGTGTGTTAATGTGTATAGTGTGCATAGTGTAATGTACGTATAATTCGATTTTCTTATATCGAGCAACACAGATTCAAAATGAACGAAATGAATGCCACGAAAACCGTTAGTTCGTTCCTGTTCACGAACAAAAAATAAAATAAAATAAAATAAAATAAAAATAAAATAAAATAAAATAAAATAAAAAGAAACCGCAAGATTCCGGCGGCGGTTTTCTCAGGAACACACTCCGCAGATTGTCTAAACATCGGATAGAGAAACTCAGGCAAGAGCATGGAAGCGCCGATCACGGCGAGACCTATAAAGGCTTCCCGTACGCCTATTGGGCATTCAGTAGACAGCAAATACCACAGAGTTTGTCGAAACTGCCAGATCCCGATGAGCAGATCTCTTTAAATATCTTCCAGTTAATTCTGACATACGCGGGACTCGGCCAGAACGGCGACACGGTCCGCAGAGTCGAAGACGAGCACGTGAATCTCATACAGACTGTCATGGAACGTTGCATACGAAAGGAAAACTTGTTGGGCGAACTATATCTACAATTGATCAAGCAAACGACGGATCATCCGGATCCGAACAATCGTGTTAATCTGCGACACTGGGCATTGCTCTCGCTTGCGTGTTCCGTGATTCTTCCGCCTCAGAAGGTTATACGTAAATACTTGATCGCGCACTTGAAGCGATGCGCCAGCGATTACGTCACCGAGGAGGGCAAGTACGCGAGATTCGCGGAAAAGTGCCTTTATAAGACTCAGGGCACCCGAAGACGGCAATGGCCACCGAGTCGCGAGGAGATCATGTGCACCATTAATCGCCGACCGATCTACGCGAGATTCCACTTTATGGATGGCCAATACCACGCCGTCGAGTTTCATCCATCTGCAACTGCCAGGGACGTTATGGAGATTATCAAGACTAAGATGGGACTCGAAGAAACTGCTATGGGTATGTTGTTTCTTTTATATCATTTTGTATTTTTTTCAATACTGGGGTATCTTTAAATACTAAAATTTAGAAATATCGCAAATTTTTTAAATTTTATTTCTTTTAATTCAGTCTCATGCTAAATTTACTCGACTGATATTTATTATATTTTCTTTTTACATCAGGCTACGCGATTTACGAGGTGTTGGGACCGACCGAGCGATCACTGATCCCTGAGGAGAAGATAGCCGACGTCATGTCCAAGTGGGAACGATATAGGACATCGCAGCAGAATCAACAGAGCTCACAACGGAAGCACGTGCATCACTTCTTCCTATTCAAAAAACATTTGTTCCTAGACCAATACATGAACCTAGATGATCCGGTGGAGAAGGAGCTGCTGTATCATCAAGTGCTACATGATTTGCGCGCCGATCGGTTTCCCATCACTGAGAAAGAAGCTGTGAGTTACTGTTTTAGCAATGGAACATCTTTGTACTTAATTTTCATATATTGCTTCTTCTTTTCTATTTTTCTTTTCTTCTTTGTTACATCTTTGCATTATTTATCTTTTCTTTTACTTCTTTTACATTAATATAATTACTGTATAATTATATTAATTATCCCATTTGTAATTTTTTTTTTATCCTCTTAATTTAATCAATAGCATAAAAAAGTTTTTTAATCTTAATCTTAATAAAGTGTTGTCTTTATTATGCCGTTCTTGGCTATTTTCTATCACGAGATTAATGTCACTCACAGATGATGCTGACGGCTTTGCAAGCGCAACTGGAAATGAGCGACTGCCAAGATACCATATCGGAACAAGATTATCGAACGATATCGAGCCACTGCCTACCGTCGAGACTCGTGCCGTGCTTGTGCGTGGACGGTGTACGCCAGCATCATCAATCTTTGCGCGGAATGACACCACCCGAAGCAAAGAAGGCTTTCCTGAATCTCATCCAATCATGGCCGTTGCACCGAGCGACGATATTCGACGTGATGCAATCGTTCACCTCAAATTGGCCTCGCGTATTGTGGCTGGCTGTTGATCAGCAGGGTCTTCATCTTCTGGAACACCGTTCCAGAAACGCACTGTGTACTTACGAATATAGCAGTATTCTAAGTTATACACCCGCCGTTAATTGTCTGATGATCATTACCGGTACGGATAAGAAGCAGAGCAAGGTTATTCTCACCACGTCGCAGGTAATACGACTAAAATGGCCAAATATCATTATTGCAAACTTTAAATCATACATTTTTATCTTTGTATATATTTAATTGCCATTTAATTTCGATCGTTCTCCAGGCTCATCAGATAGCGAATCTAATACGCGAGTACATGGAGGTGCTTCAATCGCCACCGGAAATACCGAGACGAGACTCGACGATGACTGCTCAACAATTTGCCGCTCAACAGCAGCAGCAACAGCATCAGCAACCGCCAGCAACACTGCCGTCATCTACGACCGGCGGACGAAAGTCCCGACCCGCTTCGATGTTACACAGAGGTGCTCCGGTAATACAATCGCAAGCTAGTTAGAATGGTTAGATAAATCTCTTGCGGGAGTTATATATTATAAAGACAGTTTCCCTTCAACCTGGTACCTAAATCGCGCCGCACGTTCCATAATTATAAAGTGCCATAAACTCGAGATACGCACACAGCGGTATTATCTATTTTATCAAAGAATACGCATAATTCTAATATACATATATATACATACATATATATACATATTATATTGTATAATTTTAATCCCCGTACACACTGCTCCGTCTTGTTCACTGCGATAAAGCGTTCCCTGTATGCGTAACTATATCTTAACAATATTCTTTGAGAGATTAAAACACGTAGAATGACGTTTAGTATCAGGTTGTGGCGAAAAGAGAACGGTTTGCATTTAAACGCGCGTCGTCACGTGCGTCTAACGTTAAATGCAGTTGTCCCATCCCCTCGCATATCAGACCTAGACAAGATCTAACGTCTGAGAAGCGTATCGTAAGGATATCAGAAAGGCATATCCTAATTTTTCGAACATCTTTTCGTTTTGAAAAGCTACATTTAACGCTAGATGCTACGACATTAGATAGAAATATTAATCCGGCGCTTTAAATTGATCACGCTTTTCTCGATCGGGCCTATCGAGAAGCGACGATGTATCGAACAACAACACTATAGCCTAGGGATACTTATTTCTTCCACTATTTATTAGATTAGCTTAGAATCTCGCAGAGATTCGTCAAAGACTATAGATTTAGTCTCCGCGTATATAACCGATTTATAGCGAGATGAGTGATAAACAACTGCCATTAGAAGAGTTATCGACCGCGAGGAAAGTTGCCGAGGATTTTTCTATTTCTATTATGACCACCGTTATCATTGTTGCCTTTTTTATCTGAGTGACCGCCGCCACGTTTTTGATAACGATTTCTGCAACACGAAATATAAGAGAATTTTCAATATATGGCGATACGATTATTCTGATACATCGTTAACTCCGATCGGCAGTCAATAATTATTCCACCGCATATCATATCGATTGAAGGGTAATATAATATCGCGAAGAGAAAGAAGGAACGATTAAGAAAAGTGCCAAAAAAACAATTTTCAGAATTAAGGAAAAAATCTATATAAAAAAAAAACACGAAAAATTATTATAGTTACACAAAAATTGAAATAAAAACAATAATCAAAGTACACATTTGTAGATCATAAAAAAAAATTATAAAAAAACATCAAAAAGTGTAAAAGTATTAAAAATGAAACATTGACATTCGTACATTGAGTTTTGCATTTCCGGTTTACAAATATCTTCTACGATATCGTGTGTTAATGTGTATAGTGTGCATAGTGTAATGTACGTATAATTCGATTTTCTTATATCGAGCAACACAGATTCAAAATGAACGAAATGAATGCCACGAAAACCGTTAGTTCGTTCCTGTTCACGAACAAAAAATAAAATAAAATAAAATAAAATAAAAATAAAATAAAATAAAATAAAATAAAAAGTTATTTATGATTATTCTACTCTCTAAACCCGGCAAGTGTTCTCTCAATTTCAGTTTTTACATTATTACAAAGTACATGGCTTCATCAAGCGTGATCGCGTTTAACGTTACCAAAGTGGAGTCCCGGTGCTGATTATTAAACGCAGAAGAAATATTAATCCGGCGCTTTAAATTGATCACGCTTTTCTCGATCGGGCCTATCGAGAATGTATCGTGTATCGAACAACAACACTATAGCCTAGGGATACTTATTTCTTCCACTATTTATTAGATTAGCTTAGAATCTCGCAGAGATTCGTCAAAGACTATAGATTTAGTCTCCGCGTATATAACCGATTTATAGCGAGATGAGTGATAAACAACTGCCATTAGAAGAGTTATCGACCGCGAGGAAAGTTGCCGAGGATTTTTCTATTTCTATTATGACCACCGTTATCATTGTTGCCTTTTTTATCTGAGTGACCGCCGCCACGTTTTTGATAACGATTTCTGCAACACGAAATATAAGAGAATTTTCAATATATGGCGATACGATTATTCTGATACATCGTTAACTCCGATCGGCAGTCAATAATTATTCCACCGCATATCATATCGATTGAAGGGTAATATAATATCGCGAAGAGAAAGAAGGAACGATTAAGAAAACTGCACAAGCACTTATATAAAGCGACCAAAAAACATAATCTCCCAAACATAAGTATAACATTTGACTGAATATTGCCTGCTGTATCGATGCTAATTGCCATAGTTGTATTTCAAACACCATGATACAGTGTAGCGGCCAGAATCTTATAATATTTATTGATATTATAAATTTTTGCGATATAAGAGGGGATCTATATAAATTATTTAACAAAAATATATAATTCATGTGCGTTTTGAAAAATCAGATAACGTATCCCAGTTCTTTATAGTCACCGTTATATTTCCTGAAATTGTAGGGTAATCGCCGGAGAAATGATTGCCTTTTTGAACCAATTTATTAAAATTTATATATCTGACATATTTAATAGTACCAATTTACGAAAATTATGCAGATGAAACAATTACGCTGTATATCGTTCACAAATTACAACGCGTGATTTTCTTCAAATAATATGAGACCTGTATCTGTAAACTGTACGAAATGGAAATCCGTATTCGAAAAAATATTTCTCGTTCGATAAAACGAACTAAAGCATTTAAAATGTAATCGAATATTACCGCAAATGTACACGATATGCAAACGAAAGTTTGCATGCGCGACAAACGTGTCGACGTTAAAACGAGTCGACTAATCCGTTTTCGTTCTCTAGACAATCTTCCTAATATCGTCGCTTTCCTCGTACAAAGTTAATCGCTAAATTTAGAAAGAAAGAATAAAAAAAGAGAAAAAAAGAAAAGAGGATAAGGAATAGCGTATACCCATTACGTGTATCCTCACGATCGACACGATCGCATTCGTTCAAGAAGCATACCACGAAATTGCGTCCAATTAAAATTTCAATTTATTTTTTATTCGAAACGAAATTTGTTCGCATATGTGTGTATAAAACATATATAAAACGTAAACGGATAATAAAAGTTTCGCGCGAACATCTCCAATGTTTAATAATTTTATCGGAAAATTTCTTTTCGGAATGCAACAATCATTGCGATGTAATAAAAGTCTGTAATCTCTCCAACTTTACATGAAATCTTAGTTGCGATAAAATTCTTCGCGAAAAAATATGTACTGTCTTTACATTTAAAAACGAATATGTTTCAAGAAAAAGTGCGAATTAACTGAGAAAAAAAGAAAGAGTGAACGATGTTTTCGATTTAATATCTACATTATTTCAGATTAGTTGCAAGCCTTTTTTTTAATTTATTGTTATCAAGTAATGATTTTATAGTTGATTTTAAAATATATATAAATTCACCTATATAGCTAAAGAATTTTAAAAAGAAACCGTCGAGTTTTATTCGGTTGTGGGATATTCTCAGGAACGGTGATTTAAAAGATTTTTTATATAGAGTAGCACGGTCTCGTTTAGAACGCGAGAAAGACGATGATTTTGTTCTAATTTTTGCTTGAAAGTTTGGCGGAACCTCGACGTGTGCAGAGATAGACTGTGATCTGCTTTGGGAGTCTTTAGTCTTCGAGAGCCATTTAATCGAGTGAGACTACGTTTCATATTATTATATGCTATGTACGAGACGTTGCGCGAACGACATATGTATATGACGCTTGCGTATGTATGGATGCGCCGAGAGAGAATGCGATAATTTAAGAGACACTTAAGGAATGTCTGTGGAATGGTTCAAAACTTTATTCTTCGGATATCATAAAGTTTTCAGGACGTCTCAAAAACTTTAACTCGAGGAAGGAATTCAAGTTTCGGAGAAAGAAGTCGTTTGACTTTTCGAGCATCTTTAAAACGTCTTTGAAACTCTTATATCGTCTGAATAGTTGAGTTCTAAAAGACATTTCAAACTTTCTTTAGAGGCGTTTAAAATTTTTTACGTTTGCGTTTTGTGTGTGCGAGAGCAAATTCAAGTGATTGTGATTAATTATTATAAGAATACGCGCGCGCGCGCGCGTGTGTGCAGGCATGTTATTCAAGTGATGGCACCAGCCATACACGTAGCTTTTAAGCGAAGCATAAGTTATTGGTTGACACATGTTATTGAATTATATATATAAAAACGAAAGAGAGATCCTGTGTATATAAATATACAACTATAATATATATATATATATATATATATATATATAAATTTTTTTTTTTTAGAATATTTTATCCAACACATCGTGCACACAGGCATAAGACAATATACGAAGTACGTACGCGCCGTTCTTCTTATTTCTCAGACCCAGGATAAAATCCAGGATATTCTCATTCGGTTTCAGCGACATTGGTCCCTTTTTTTATCTTATCTTAATTCTTAATGTTTTCGCGTCCCGTCCTGACTCTCTCCGAAAGCAATGATACCAAGATCGTTGAACTAAAATTGAACTTAAGGATTTTAACACAGGTCTGAAGAAATAAAAAGAACATTACGTACAATGTGCGTGTAACGTATATATACCTACTCACTTAATTATTCTATATTGCAACAATGTTAATTCTCTCTTATCATTTTTTTTCTTACATTATAATTTTATATATTATTTTTTGTTAATGCGGTATATATATATATGTGTGTGTGTGTGTGTGTGTGCATGTATATATATATGTACATACATACATACACACACATATACATATATACATACGTACATCAACTTAAAGATTAACATCAAATCCACGCATTTGCGCCTGCCTTTTTAATTCTTCGTTTCGAAGATGTATATCTTTTTCTTTTTCAAGCACGCTCAGTCTCTCCAAGAAATGTAATACAAGTTCTCTATTCTCTAAATAGAATATAACGCAGGTAGATGCAAGCAGATAATGCAGGAAAATAGCGATAACATGCATAACAACAGTTCTTTGTGTGCATAAACGATTGACTAGTCGTTACAAAAAAATCTTACGATAAATAATAGATCGAGGAATCGATGCGGAATACTATCGTCAAAATTATATATTGTCGATATATCCAACAAAATAAATAATATATTTCAATGACGATAGTTCTCTCTCGAAAGTACAAATATTGCGTTAACTACTAAAAAAGAAAAAACTATAAAAGATTGAAGATTACAATAAAATGCACACAAACTCTATCAATGTAAAAATCTTAACGACGAATTTGTCGATTCGTATAGAATACATTCCATTAATTAAACGAAGCTGGCTCACAAAAAGTACAAATAAAAATATGACTCATCATAATGGGGAGTTACATAAAGAGTTTAACAAAGAGTTTGCCCTAATCGTAGCAAGCAAACATTATGATAAATCTCTGAATAAAAATTCACGCGCGCAACTTTGGGGAAATACTTTGTATAAGTTAAAACGCTTATAATACATTTTGTACACTGTCGCGAAAATTAATAAAAGAGCATAACACCGCGGAAGAGTAAAAATTAGTAAAACTTAATAAAAGAAATAAATTGATATAAACCCGTTCTCTCGCGCATCTCGATGACCGTCGAGGACGATAAGTTAGGATACCGTCTAACTTGAACTTTAGAAATCACTGCATCGCTCGTACGGACAACAATTCGATTTATCGAGATGTTCTCGAGGGAACTTATCACAAGATTCACTGAGATCCGAAGGGAATTTTTGACGTTACGTCGATTTTGTCGAATCGATGTGCTGAGGACGGCAATTGTTCTTTCGTAGAGAAATCCGTTCAGCGATCATCGAGATTACGTGTGATACGCGAGCCCATAAATTGCGATAATAAATTAGTACTGAGACGAGTGGACGCGGCGCGCCAAAAAGTGAACATCCGATTTGCAGCCGATATATCTAAGTTTAAGAAGAGAAAAGTAGTCTCCGCGCCCGCGAGATATTTGTTTTTCCGGTTTTTAATACACATACACATCGTAATCCTAGACACTAGTAACAATACATAGGTACACGGTATAGCTGTAATTTTCTTTCGAAATAACGCACGAGACCGTCTTTATTATATGTTTTTTTTCCTCTTTTTAAAGCGTAGGCCGGACTAACCCGTCTCTTTCTCTCTCTCTCTCTCTCTCTTCCTTTCTCTGGAATTTGATTCATCCTCCGTCAACTTGAATCTTCAAAAAAAGCCGACTTATATATATAAATAAGGATACGAGCTCGCGAGCGCGCGCACGAGCGTTTTAGGAACGACCGCACGACAATGAATGGAAAATCAGCGCGTAATGTCGTTACGTGTGCAAGAGAGATTCGCGCCTATACGTATTATATAGAAAATATACATACATATTATATATGGATAAATAAATAAATAAATATATATGCAATTCGAGCGTGAAAATATTTTAACACATCAAAAAGTTGCATCAATTTTTGACGTACTTGCAACGTGTGTATGTGCATCGTGTCTCTATATACTTTGTCTTATCTCAACATAAAGTATCAGAATATAATATAAATGTAAGAGAAGTGGCACTAACTAAAATTCTATAAAAATAGTAACACACACAAATTCCACATCTTACAACTTTGAGTTTCAATAATGCGAAAATTTAAATTTAATTAGTTTATTCGCACTTTATTTTGCATTTATATTAATGCACAAGGTTAACAGACAATATCGCGCGCTCGGATGTTTAACAAAGAGAATTATAAACAAGAGCATATAATTATCTATATCTTCTTTTTATTTGTGACTTTTTAGACAATAATCAGACAAATAACAGTGTTCGCTCCCTTTGGCGATTGCCCGTGTAATTGCTTGTGCGACACGAGCCAGTTTAACTCTGGTGCCAGTATATTTTATATCTCTTTATTACAACATATATATTATATATATGTATCTCTTGCATTCGTTTAATCCTACACAGCTTTGTGGCCACAGCACCGAGAAAGGAAGCCAAATTAAGACAGCAAAGACAGAGGCAATCATTTGTGCACGCGTAAGTTACTTGCATTAAATAATCGCCACAATAATAATAACAGTAATTAATATAATTAAAAAAATAATAACAATAACGCTGGGGCAATTACAATAGTCGACGAATATAATAAAATAGTTATAATAACGGTAATAATTAATTATGGTGATAAATAACCACATCTATTTGTATGACGACAATCGTCAAGGTGGACGCGAATAGTTGCATTTCACTCGTTTGTTTCCTTCGTCTCTTTTTAAAGCGTAGGCCGGACTAACCCGTCTCTTTCTCTCTCTCTCTCTCTCTCTTCCTTTCTCTGGAATTTGATTCATCCTCCGTCAACTTGAATCTTCAAAAAAAGCCGACTTATTCTGTAAATCTCCGTTTTGACTAGATTTATAGTAAATGCACATACGCCACAACAAAGCTTCGAGCGCTATCTCTCGATTCCTCAATTACCAATAGCATTTTCTAATTAGCATAGATGCACTTCGAAGCGAGAGTTTTTAATCGACAATTGTTCCGATAACGCTCGCGTGTCTCTCCACATTCGTGACATCGTCAAACATTATTAGAGATCAACGATCATCGATCGTCTTGCGCCTTCATCAGGTACCTTTACATCGAGACGGTTTTCTATCGCGTCGACGAGTCGAATAAAATAGATAAATAGATAAATCACGGAATAAGAAAAGAAAAACGCCGACAGACATAAGCGGACGAGTAACGCTAATTGATAATTTCCGATTACATTATCGATCACGGGGATGACGACGTAGCGCACTCCTGTAAATCAACATATACGCGGACATGTACACGGAAAATAAAAGTATCGACACGGTCTCGATCGGACGGTCAATACTCCTGTTACGCTTAGAACACTATAGTCTGCTGGTCGATAATTATTGCTGTACAAGCGAAAGCTGTTGAAACGATTGGCCACAACGTTCGCTCCGATGTGACCATTGTTGATGATGATGATGATGATGATGATGATGATGATGATGATGATGATAATCATGATGATAATAATGACGCGCGAAAGCGACGAGCATTGTGTGTTTTGCACCTTAAGTATATATTATACATATATGTAAGAGCTCTCCGTGTATGTACCGACAACGTCGCGCGCGTGCATCTTACGTCTTATAAGATCTAAAAATCGTGCAACAAATGCTCGACGTATGGCTACGGAAGTCCCTTTTCCTGGACACCCCCGATTGCTCTTGAATGAGATGCACAAGAATCCCGCGCTTCGAGTCCTGCACAGGCTCGAAGCACGCGCTGGCATCTATACAGGCTCGCGCGGTGTCCAGGAAATAAGGACAGTCCTCCCATTCCATGTGTGTGTATTTTCTTTTTTACTCGCGGGTCTAAGATCTAGGAAGGACATAAAAATGTACGTTTACACAACAACGACGATATATGACGACACCGAGTCGGTGCGTGTCGTCGTCGACGAGCCGTGTCACCACGAAGAGGAGGAGGGCTACAAACCTGGAGCTGAAAGTTGTGCCCAAAGTAGCTCGTCGACGGAGGCACACGCCAAAGAGATTCCCGCTAATAACTCGCACGATTTTGACGCTGCTGTCGATTTTGCGCTCTCGCTTCACAATTACTATGTTTAAACACTAAAGTTTCTTTTTTTTTTTTGTTTAAAACTTATCGTTATACTTCTATAATTCTATCTATGAAGTTATTAGAATCATCAATGACAATTCTATCGCATTCGCGCCAAAGATCCAGGACCGTAGAATTCGAAAAGTGGAAGAGTTGGGGGGCCGGGGGCTTGACAATATGCGGTTCGTTCTCTCGCGTATGTTGGAACGCGTGAGTTTTAAATCTTTGACGCAAGCTGGATGATGCACACTTCGACATGCACACTAAAATCTGAATATATCATGTATCTTTCGCATGTTCACTTCTTTCTGTCTTCGCCATCCCTGGCCGAAATTATGCCGACCCGGGAAGACATTTACTGATACATAACTACAACGTCAACGTGTCACGTGCTTAAAAGTCACTAACAAAATATTACTATTACCCACCCTTATATCTAAAGAGCTTTCAGCTTACTATTAGATTAAGTACACGAGTTCAAGCCTGTTCAAAGATACCTATCTAGAGACACATTTAAGGATCGCGAAAGGTGCATCAAAATCGCTAGATGGACTTGCTCGGTATTTTGATAAATTTGATATTTTTCTCTATGTATAATACATTCTCTTTTTTTGTTGCTAATCTGTGTTTTATATTCATGGCTACATACGTACTATATGCACCTCACGCGCCTTTTTAAAATTGTAAGAGACGCCGAGAATCGCAAGTGTGCAAATTTATATATATGCTCGCCGCGAGAATTTGTTCCTTTTTTTTAGAGTGTTATGATCGCCTCCTCTCGCTTGTCTCCATGCCTTACTAAAATAAATTAATTTATTTATATATATATATACACATACATACATACATACATACATACATATACATATATTATATATATATATATATATATATGCACATACATATACATATGGATATAATCTATATTTTTATGTACTTTGATTGGAGACCACCAGTGGACTCTTTCAATCTGTAATGATCGCGCTCAAGTTCTACTTAAGTATGAAATGAGGCGCGCCCGCCCGATTTAAATCGTATCCTGCTCGATCTATATCACGCGAGCGCGATTTTTTTTTTTACATCCTGTCGGAGAAGCGCTGCGAGATGCTCCTCTGTATGTGTGTGTATACGTGTACATGTGTAAAGCTCGACGAAAACTTTCGACCTCGTTCGATTGGCGCTGGACAACAGCCAGACGAAACGAGAGCCGATTTTTCGATTCTTTCTACGCTGATCTATCCTAATGCACAGATTCTTATATACATAAACTCGTCATTTATAAATGTTGGAATTACTTAAAACTTAAGCCCAGCTTACGTTTAGTCTTCGTCGTAGCGTGAATCCGTCAAAAATTCTACGTTTTTAAGAATTAAACTCGACTTATTTTTTAAGTAATATTCAGTTAAATTTAAATTTTTCCATGGACATTATTCACTTGTTCGTATTACAACACGTTATTTTCTCGTAATAGAGATTTTCAAACAATAAAATACGTTATAAGTGCCAAGCCGTTATATAAGTATAAATTCGATTTCTACATCTACTTAACACAATATTAAATATCGTCAGATCAAAACTTAATTGCGAGTTTATAATATTTAAAAAAAACAATATTTTCGACTTCATTCTATGCGCGCAATCCTCATCGACAAAATCATCCGATAAAATTAGTTAATAAGAAACGTTATATTAAAAAAAAAGAAAATAAAAACAAAAATAATTAGAAAAAAACGATGTGTTAAAAAGCCGGTAAAGACCGGTATTTCTCCTGCCAAATTTGTTCAATCTCCTATCTTATAAATCTATACGAAATTGGAATCTCATCGCGCGTTTCTAATAACATTAAATAATTTAGGTATATATCACTTTACAAAGTGAATCGGTTAATCGCCCAGCGATCGTCCATACCATTTTGTACGAGAGCCTACCTTTTATATCATTTGTACCGCGCCAGCAATTGCGTTTCCCAGCAATTCGTTTTCATACAGAACGTCGTAAAACTCTCTTGATTACTGTTTCTACTTCCGGTAACACCGACTCTCTAGTGCTCCTCGCAAAAATGATAGTAAAAAATTTGCAATTTCTGCCAATCTTGCACAATGTGCTCTAATAAAATGCACCTTTCTATCATTTGTGCTGAATCAATTCGTCGCGCTCCTGCAACAGCTAAAAAATATCTCCACAAAAACGCAAATTCTCAAGAAAATGAAACTCCGGTATTCTCTTCATGGCTTGGCTAACATTTCCGAATTTTTAATATTTCGGATCGCCACTAATGTGCCTCAATTAGTCGAATACTTCCATCCTCGCAGTGAACAGATGTATCATCTCCATCAGACGTAATTGGCCAAAGGAGATCTCGAGCAGCTTCAAAATGTCGATTTCCAACTTTGCGTTGTTTAGCGCATTCGCCACCTTGTTAAGCGGGAAGTATTAGGACGATTAATTTTTCGGTTCCACATCCTTCACAGTGATTTATCATCTCTTATTGCGCTGCAAACCTGGCTGGATTAAAGTCCTTGTTGACCATGGAAAAACCGCGAAATTCCTCTTGATTGATGTAGCTCACTTCCTCCGCGTCTTCCGGTGTTAACACGGGATCCTCCTTCGTGAATTCCGTATCAAAGTTCATAGCGTCTTTCTCATTTTTCTGAAAATTTTGAAAGCGTCACATAGAAACGATTGTCTCTTATTGTTTATTAAATATAGAAACAAAATGCATAAAACTCACAATTTTAGGTCTAATAGGTGGTTTCACTCTGCGTGTTTCAAGCGCTTCCCAATCCATGTGTTGGAAAAATGGATGGACCTTTATGGCATTTTCGCCGCCATTGGCTGCGACACAACCTAATCGCTTGGCAGGATTTTTAGTCATAAAACCTTTCAAAATAGACACGGCTTCCTTGGAAATCCATATCGGATATAGTACATCATCTCGTAAGATCGATTCGAAAAGTTCGTCCTCGTTATCGGCTTCGAACGGTGGTTGTCCAGCCATCATCTCATACATCAAAACACCGAGAGCCCACCAATCGACGCTGGCACCATACTGCAATTCCTGCAGTATCTCGGGAGCTATATAATCCGGCGTGCCGCAAAATGTCGATGTGGTCGTTTGTCCTTCAATTATATTCTCTTTACACATTCCGAAGTCTGCCAGTTTACAATGTCCCTCCGAATCTAGCAGTATATTATCTAGTTTTAGATCGCGATATATAACGTGATTTTTGTGCAGAAACTGAAGGGCAAGTGTCACTTCTGCCGCGTAGAAACGTGCTCTCGCTTCGTCAAACTTTCGAGCCTTCTGAATGTGGAACATGAGATCACCTGAAACAGATCGAAAAACATAATAATGCGATATTAAATACGAATAAAAAAAATCATGTGTTTTATCATATATTTTATTAACGAAATTAATTACGATTTTTGTACCTCCATTCACGTATTCCATAACAAAGAAGAGTCGGTCAGTAGTTTGGAAGCAACTGTGGATGGCTGTTAAAAAAGGATGCTTTGCCGCTAGAGCCAAGATTCTTTTCTCCGTCATTGTACAATCTACATCATCGTCTTGAATAATGACATCTTTCCTCAAGATTTTTACGGCGTAAATCTCATCGGGATTAGTTTTTCGTTCTACTAGCATCACTTTACCGAAACTACCTTTACCGAGGACCTTGATAAAATTAAAATCGTGTATACCGAATTTTCTTGGTTCACTGCCGTTAACAGGCACTGCGTTTTCATTGGCATTAATTGGTGTTTCCGCTCCTTTCGCTTGTAAATTGTCCGTCGCCATTTCGTCCGTAACTGTGACCGTGGGTGTTGACGGACACGTGGATACTCTGTAATTGATTTTCGGAGTTTTGACTTGCTTGTCCGCGGAGATGTTCATCGTTTTCAGAATGTCGGCCATAGCTTTGGTATTAATACCGCAACTGTTTGGTACATTCTTCTGACATCGTTTATGAACGTTCATGTTACAAGCTATAACACAAAAAATGTAGTATAGTTTAAAATAAGCTTCTTTCCTCTTTAAAAAAAGAATTTTTTTTAAATATAAATTATCGGTCGTTATTTACCTTCGCATTGTAAACCTTGCTTAAATAAACCGTACAATAGGGATCCACAGTGGTCACAAAATGTAAATCTCTTGTAATTATGAACAACAAAGCGATGAGGCATATCTATATTGAAGCGCGGGCTCTCTGTGTCTTGATTCGACTGTAATCCAGTTCCTTTACCCTAAGTGAATAATTCAGGGAGAAAAAACAGAAATAAAAAACTAATAGAACAAAAGGAATAAATCGATAAAATTTAATACAATAAAATTATATAATTGAATGTACGGCTCGTATGACTAAAATCAAATGTCGGTGTAAACTGGCAGTATCGAGCCAAGCGCGGTATAAAGAGCGCAAACACTGTTTATTAATTAATATAAATAGAATACACTAATCGCGGACGTTTCGGCCCTTTTTTGGGGCCATCTTCAGCGCGGAAAACAAAATAATACGGTCTTAAATAACTAAACGCAACTGCGACGTTCGGTGATGCATCCCGTGGATCTCTTACGCAACCGGCGACATCCCATCCTTAAGGGCATCCATGTCCTTCCAAAGGTAATTCCTCGAATTTCTTGGGTGGTAGATAAACATGGCAGTAAAATGCACAGGTTGACACTGACCAATCGTAGGTGTAATCGGAGAACTACACTCTCCAACTCACGGAGGAACAATGAGACAAACTATTGTTCATGATACATTAAAACGGTACATATGATTAGTGTATTCTGTTTATATTAATTAATAAACAGTGTTTGCGCTCTTTATACCGCGTTTGGCTCGGTACTACCAGTTTACACCGACATTTGACACTAAAATTAATTATATGTGTAACATAAAAAAGACCTTACACAATATACAGGATAATTGTACATATACAGGACTATTGTACATAATGTTTATGTTTTTCAATTAGTTACTTATTGATAATTTTAATAGCTAAATATCATATACAGGGTGTCCGGTAAAGATTGTGCCAACGCTCGTGAACGAGTAGAGCAAAGTAAACTGAACAGAAAAGTCCTGTAACATTTTTTTCTATAACGCTTAATAAAGGAGTTATTATTGAGTAAAGTCTGATCAATCAGCGCCGACTTTTAGCCGGACGTACATCGGTGAGCCACCCGCCTGGTAATATGGGCCGCCGTAGAGACGGAGCGCTCACGCACACTACCAGGCGCGCGGCTAAAGGTCGGCGTTGATTGGCAGACTACTCAATAATAACTCCTTTATTAAGCGTTACACAAAAAAATGTTGCGGGACTTTTCTGTTCGGTTTACTGTGCTCTACCCGCTCATGAGCGTTGGCACAATCTTTACCGGACACCCTGTATATGATATTTAGCTATTAAAATTATCAATAAGTAACTAATTGAAAAGCATAAACATTATGTACAATAGTCTCAATAATATCAATGCACAAAAAATTACTGATAATAGTTTTATCCTATGTCACCTTATTTAGAATACTAGGAACCTACCTCATCTCTCATTCCTGGACATTTGGTTATCACCAATTTGTGACATCTCTTGTGGACTACACAAGTGCATACTGAAACAGTATTACAACAAATATCTCCCTGTAAAAATATTCATCTCCAAAATGTAACGCTAAATACTGCACGTCTAAAGCTGGTTACATGCGTGATTAGACGCATTCAAAAATTATTTACAGTAATATCATAAGCGTAGAAATAAAATCGTAATTTATTTAATATTATCTCCACATAAAATCGACAAAAGCTACAATATCGAAAATGAGTTATCAAACTCTGAAATGATGAATAATCAAGGAATTTTTATCAAAGGGGGGGGGGGCAACATGCAAGAAACTAAAAAATTCCCCCATTTGGCCATAAATTCATTTTTATGTGGTTAATAGTTAACAAATAAACTGAGAAAACTTTATCACGAAGCAAATTAATCCTACGGTGAGACCATAAGTATATATTCACAGTAAACCGAAAACGCACAAAAGAGGCGACTGTAAGACGCTGTAGAGATTGTAAAAATAAAATATAAAAAAAATAAAAGCTGCACTAAAATCAATTGATTAAGAATTTTAATCGTCGTGATTTCTCTCATTGCAAAACTAAAAGCAAAACACATACTCCTAACTGCGCTACATTCATACATAAGAGTGCGGCACAAGCAGATACATAATTATAATCTGTTAATAACAGTGTATGTGTCTTCTCACCTTGACACTGATAGCCCTGCTTGCCCAAGCCCCTGAAATACAACAGACAAAACACGTCACATCGTATCCTTGTAATACCCCTTCTAAGACACATACGTTTTGCCTTCTTCAACCGTACTTAGTCATCATTTACACTAGACTCCTGATAAAAAGGATTTATGCGATTGATGTAAGAAAGAATAATGTAATATCGAATTGTAGTTGGTATATATCTTCCCTAATTTTACTACATAGTTGCTGTTTATTACAAAATATTGCCAATTGAAATGCTCCAACACCTTGATACCTTTAGACGAATTTAGCGGATTATATTATAGGGCATGTGTGCTTTTGTAAAACCCAAGCATGCGATCTGTCCAAAAAGGAGAAATTTGTTTCAAAATATAATGTTTGGAATACACCTTGAATGTAGCAATACCAAGCTCTGTGTTTATCATGAATCTACATCTGTGTATGTGTTTGTTGAGTTTTAAAATAATTGTTTATAATAATTTAATCTTTTTGATATAAACCATCGTTAACTACATATAAATTAATAAATATGATGTCTTCTCTTGTTATTACTAAATTAGATTACAAAAAAAGACCAAAATAAATATTAAACTGTGCAACCCATTGTTTGTATAATAAATTAATATATTTCATATGCATTACCAGTCAAATGTTGACAAACGCTACAATATTCTTTGTAATTGTAACTGTGAATAAAATATACACCACTTTAAGCATGCTCCCATGTACCAAATATTTCGTAATAATACACACTCGGTTGTCGAAGATAGTATCGAGTACTTGCGCGTAAAATTTTAAGCAACGAGAAGCAATGATACACACTTAAGCATACATACCATATAAATTCACGGCAGTGCGAACAGAATGTCGGTTGCCTCAGAAAAGTAGCCATGAATTTGTGCCCATTCACTTGATGAATCCTTCGTCGCATCGCACCCCTCCGACGATAAAAGCCCTGTCTCTCCTTAAATTCTCGACGCGGTTCTTTGCTGACAAGTGGGTTCATACTGCCGATACTTCTACCACTGATACTGTCTCCATCGCTTCCTGTGCTGCAACTCATTTGTCGATCTAAAATATTAAATCAAAATATATCAAGTCGTATATATTTATCAAATATTTGAGATTTTTCTTACCCTGATCATTCCATTGCAAATCTATCTTCACTCTCAGTTTTCCTTGAGGTTCCAAGTCAACCTGTAATCAATATCATTAATAATAAAATATATGCAAGGACAAACTTTTTAACTATATAATATCTTTATTTAAATATATGAAATTTTTCAATTTTTAGAATTTGTCACATACATCAATTATTATAAACTTGATAAAGAAAAATTAATTAATAGCGCCCGCTACATTAAAAACTCTATACAAATGTATATTTAACGTATTACATTTAAATATAATTATTTTCATTCAAACTATATAAAAGAAAATGCCTGGTAACATTATTTAAGAAGAAGGATAGAAATAAATAAGATAAATTATAAAGCGAAACAAATACATATACAAAATAAAATTTAAACGTTAAGTGTAAGTGTAATCTATCTCTATTTATAGCGTTCAAAGTATATAGACTTGGATATTATTCGTTCAATTAGTTACATCAACAGTGATGGTAGAATCGAGAAAAAAGAAAAAATTGACTTACACTCCCAACACCAATGTATATTTATACATTCCAACCGATTTAAGTTTAGCGAAAGATCAAAAGAACGGATCTGCAACTAACCCAAAAGTCGGTAGTCTTGCCATTTCGGTTGACGAGTTCCTCGAACGGGATGCTGCAATTGGCAACGAAGTAATCCGGCGGCAGTGCCGCGTCGTGGAAGACTGTGAGGCCCAGCATGACTGCGTCCTGCACTTCGTAGGTAAAGCACTCGTTCCACACCGGATCGAAGGTCTTTGGTTTCGTGGTCGAGCGATCCAGGTGATTCTCGTCGACGTCCAGCTGCACGTACGGGTCGAGTATAGGTTCATCCTGCCAGAACTTGCGCTGTTTGTCGGTAGCGCGAAGTCCCACCGCCTCGCAGATCTCGATTTTGATCGTACCCGTAAACATCGTGATCCGTGGCGACGAATGACAGGACAGGACAGAACAGAAAAATTGAGATGCGGTGCTCTGACCAACTGTCACGCCTGACGAGCCGATGACACTTTGGCGCGCGCCGCGAACAGGTTATCCAGAATCAAGCTCGCGGACGATATCCGAGGCTGTCAAAATACCGTTGGACCACAGGGGGAATCTGGGATTCCGTTGTCGCGGGCGCACACTAAACGAGCACGAGATACGAGAGACTCGATCGTCTCTCTCTCTCTCTCTCCCTTCGGGTGAAGAAATACGTCGTCTCGTCGCTATCCGTCTCGGCCGATCTCGCTCTATCTCGCTCCTCTCTTCGGAGCTCGTGCCTCTTTTTCCCTCTTTCTCCCTCTTTCTCGCGCTTCACCTGTCCCCCTGACGCTTCTTCTTTCTTTCTCTCTCTCTATTTCTTTCACTCCCTCTATCTACTATCTTTCTCTCTCCCTCTCGTCGCTACTGCTGGTCGAGTTTCACCTCCTTCTCCGCGCCGCCCTTTCCAGTATCTCCGCCACGAGCACGAGCACCGACGTGAACGCCGTGCAGTTATAAACACTCCGCCTGGCGCTTGACGTGCGCGCATAACAGGAACCAGCGTGCCGATTTCGATGATGATCGCGGCACGATGACGGGATGACGGCGCGATGACGGCGATCTCGACGATGCGACAACGACCGCGAGGCGCGAGTACGAGGCCTGCCCTCGTCCCCTCGCTGTCCTCTTGACACCCATCAGGCTTTCCTCGCGCGTGATCTGTCTCGCTATCTTTCTCACACCGAGTTTAAGACGACGCGTACGACTTTTCTCGGCGACGCGCACACAGAGGATCAGCGAGACGACCGAGATGTATCCATGTATCTCCCGGGAACAGCGACACCAAGAAGTTAAGAACTGCCAAGAACGACTAGATCCTATACTGTTCCGCGCACCGTCCGACATCCGCCGTCCGACGTCCGACCCGAACGAACCCGTTCGAGAACCGCTCGATTGGTCGTTCGCACTCCGCGCAAACGACGACTCGGCCCGATCAACGTCGACCGCGTCTCGGGCGTTCCCGGACGTTTCCGATTCGCGCACGGGGTCTGTTCATCTTTCAGCCGCACGCTTTCTCTCTCTCTCTCTCTCTCTGTAGTCTTGCAATTTTTTTCCTTTCTCCCTTTCTCCAAAAACGGAAAATTTATATCTTTGTTTTATTTTAAATGTAAAAGAGGCGAGAAAATGCAATTAAAACAAGTAGATCTACGATAAGTCTGTGAAAATTAAACTTAATTACATTTTATATACTCACGCATTGCAATCTTATGAATTAGACATGTTATTAAGCTGTATTTACATCTGATGTTTGTTTCACGATAAATTAGATCATTAGAATATATATAATCAATAGTATTATTAAAAGATTGATTCATGACTTGTAATAAAAGAATCGAAATATTAGAAATATATGAGACAATGGGTGCGTTCAGATGTAACAATCAAACGTGATTGGTTCTTACTTCTAGAACCAACAAATCAACATCGATTATTGACAAGACGATGCACAACGGTTGTATCTCCTGAACGCGCTCAATGTAACAAAATACAAAATACAAAATGATAAAAGAACACATATATATATATACATATATATAATAGTATATATAGCGAATTCATTTGACCAATAAGATACTTGGTATATGTCGCCATATTATTTGGCAAAATTTATATATTATTTTCACGAAATTTTAAATAAAAATAACACAGATTTCCATCTTCTATTTATACTCTTGCGAGAATAATTTGCGCTTTATTTATCTTTGATATCGTTTATGATTCTCAAGAAGGAAATTTCCTCGGATCAATGCTTATGGAAGTTTTTATTTCTTTATTTATAATTTTATGACATTTTTTCTAATATATATATTTAAAAGTTCGAAAAATGAGAAAAGTTTTTATTAAAGATTGTGTAATTCTTTTTTTTTTTGAGAAGAAGGGAAGCAGTATATTTTTCAATTTTACCTACTTTAATAAAAGTCTAGTAAAAGCGAGGATTTCTCTAGTTTGTGGAGAGGAACAATCTTTCGTTCTTGGAAAACAGGAGAGAGTTTCAATCTTTATTTGTCTATATAAATAATCAAACACAAATCTAATATTTACATCCGCGCGACGTATTAACGTTATGACATCCTAGTTTTCATGATTTGCAAACCGAGACATCCTTACGTTAGTGACTTCCACATCGATGAGACGATGAAGACAAACTGGCGAGAATGATTAAATGGTTCCTAAAAACAGTCTAGTTTCTCGACGATCGACTCGCAAATATTTATCGTCCATCGGCAAACTCATCATTTACGGATAACAAAAATTGTTATTACATATACATCACTTTAGAAAAGGCAAATGATAACTCTGATTATGAGCCTCTTTATACAAGAATCGCTGGAATAAATTTATAATGATAGAATGATATCAAAATAGTAAAATGTATAATAATATGTAATATAATGTATATATATACACGTGTACTTTTTTATTAAATACATAAGAGATTAATACCAAATCTCCGAAAAATGCCATGCAGTGCACCCGGTAGATCGTCGAGTTCATAGACTATAATAATCTCGTGTGGACAATAAATTATAGCACGAAAATGACAGTGGAATATACATGACGCGGCTTTGACTACGTATGTATTATATCGTGTACGACAGTGATTCGCGTCTCGTGCTACGCTATTAAAATTCTTGAGTCTCTGTCTGTCATATATATCCGCTAGATCCGCTCTTTCTCTCTCTTTCTCTGAATATATTATTATAATTGATAAAAAAACAATCTCATAATATAATGGCTGCGTTCAGCAGAAAAAGCAGCTTTGCAACTGTTGTAAAATTCTTTAATATGATTGGTTATATATATGATTGCATAATTTATTTTTTCATTCGATTATATAAAAAGATTGTGACAGAGACAGAGAGGCTCAATGGGGTTGATTAACTGGTTGATTAAAAATAAATCACGATTATCGCGCAACTACTTGACAAAGTCAAATTAACGCGCGTGCTTCGAAGGATTTAGAGATTGATAACCCTGCACCCATGTATATTACATTATATTTCCTATAATTTTTTTTTAGAACCTTCCGGAGACAGAAACTAAGGAATCACTATCGTACAAGGTGAAAACGATCGACATGAAAAGAGCATCAAATCGCTTTATGCTTCAACAATGGTATCCGATGTATCAATATCCTTCAGTATCTGTTGTGCCGTAGCTTCCTTCTCCTTCTCATCTTGTTCCGTTCCCGATATCACGTAGACCGGTTGCTGGCTGTAAGCGAGAAAGTGTTGGTCCACGGGGAGCATCTTCGTGGGATCCTTCATTTTCATCTGCAACAGATTCCTTTAATTCGACGACAGCTGATATTTTACATCATTTCCGCGAACGTTAAATATGACCCAGTTCCGTTAAACAAAATTAGACTAGAATTATCACATATAGATCCATTGCGTTTAATCTCAATAAAATATCACGACCAGATTGTATCGTGTATTGCAAGTACCTTTTTACGATATAGCATCAGCAGAATGACGAGGCTGCTAATAATGAAGGCGCTTCCTGCCGCGAGCACGAGCGTGGCCGTTTGATAGACCGGTGTTTCCACTTGTGTCAGAATCTCGCGCTGCTCCAATGCAACGATCCGACTCTGCATTGCCACGGAAGTGGAGCGATGCGTGAAGCGCGAGGTCGTCGCGTCTGCGGATGAACCCAGCATAGATAGCTGCTGGATTCGCGTGAGTTCCTCCAGATGGAACGCCACGTCTACTTTATTCGCGCCGACAATCTCGAAGCTTAAGATCGCTGAATCTTGATTAATTTCCACTCGTACGCCTTTCCGGAGCATCGCGCCGAGCTCATGTAGAAGATCTTCGGCCTTTTCGGTGAATCGTGCCTCATCTGCGGCGAGGAATCGACCAGGGAAACGTAATGTCACCTCGACGGCTTCGACCGGTGTGGGCACTAAAATAAATTTGTAATTAGTATAATTAATATATTTATAATTAAAGATCTCTGTATGAACACATCAATGTTTGAGAATTGTGTTTTATAAGAATTATATAGTTTAGATATTTTTATGTACATTTAATTTATATTTTTATTTTATTCTACATTTTAATTTCATATTTTTATACTTTTGTATATATTTTTTATTTTAATTTATTTTTTTTATATTTTTAAAAGGGGAGATTTGAATATAAAACTACCCAACTGTATCAACAAAAATATCTATAACAATAAAATTTGAATTTAAATTTAAATAGATATAATCTTAATAAAAAATTCGCTAAAGTTATTTCAATAAAATTTTATTTAATTTAAAAAAGCATCGAGATCTTTTCTACTCACGGCAAATGCTCGTTCCCTTCAAAAACGGCTCGGAGCCGATCAATTGATTACCGGCTTCGTCGACACACCAGCAAGTATCGCCGGCACACTGTGTAGGCTCGAATCTACCCTGCGGATCGCATATTGTCGGCACATGGCCTTTGTCTTTCATCGCCTGACACCTCGTCCCGAGAATCTTCCCCGCTCGCCGCTCGTCCATTTCCAAGTCCAACAAAGCGTTATCCATGATCGCTTCAATCTCACGATCTATTTCTTGTGGTCCCCTGCCGCCTCGTCTAGCTTGCCGGAAATTACATTTTGGCTCGGCGCCCCTGATGAGCGAACCCTTAATCGGCTGGCCCTTGCGATTGACGCACCAGCAGACACCGACGTGCTCCAGACATTGCACCGGTTCCCACGTCCCACTGTCGGGATTGCACTTGGGTAGGAACGTGGATTGCTTAAGCCTCTGTGATTTCTTGAGATTCTTTTCGCGCAGCCTCTCGCATTGCGATAACACGGGGCACACGGTGTCGCATACCAGCCGGCTGGAGAAATCGTTGTGGCCAAGGGTGCATTCGTGCTTTTGTCGGCACTCGTTGCGTTCCGGATCAAAGAACCACCTCTCGGTCTCATTGAAACCCGCACCCGGATTGCACGGTACTCGTCTCGGTGGCTCGAAGCATACATCACGCGGTTTCGGACAACATACCGCGTACTCGTCCAGCGGCGACAGCTCGCACTTGTGCGTCGAAGGACAATGGTGGCCGTGAGGGCCGCAGGTGGCAACCGAGCCGTTCTGCTCAACTAACGGTGAGCCGTTCGGACACGGATTGTCCTTCTTCGGCAGACAAACGGGTACGGGAGGACACGGCGGCGCGCTACACGCCACCTCAACCATTCTGCACGCTTCGTTTTCGCCGCGGCATACGACGCTGCGGCACGGATCGCGGCACAAGCACGTTGGACAGCCGGTATCCGCGTCAAGTTCGAAACCGTCCGGGCAATCGAGCTTGCAGTCAATCTCCGGACATCTGAAAGGCGTATTACAACGTGGCACGATTCCTTCGACAACTCGGGTGCCCGCTGCTTCCTTGCCTTCTTCGTCCACGCACCAGCACACGCCATTGTGACACTGAACCGGCTCGAAGGCGCCGTTGGCATCGCATCTAGGTATATAGATTCTTCTAGCGGGCTCGCCCGATTCTCTGGCGGCGTGTTCAGCAACCGCACGGGCATGCTGGCAGGCCGTGGCCATGACGGGGGCTACGCATTGCGTGCCGCAGCCAGTCGAGCAACATTTGTCACCGGACGGGCAGGTACAAGGTACGGGCACTGGCCGGGCTTTGTCGTCAAGCAAGCCGGTACCGCCGGACAATACTGATCCGGACCGCAATTCACGTCTATCATAGTGCAGGTCTCTTGCGAGTTGCAAACGACATCGCGGCAAGGTTCGTGACAACGACATTGCTCGCAACCGGCTTCGTCCACTTCATAGCCGTACGGACAGATCAGGTTGCAATAGAGATGCTTGCAGATTCGCGTGAACTCTTTGATGGCGTTACAATCGGCTGAGGCGGCAGGACCTACTCCGGTCTTCAGGATCACTCCGCGATGGTTCACACAGTTACAATCTGTACTGTTGTGACACTGTAGAGACTTGAAGCTGCCATTTTGCTCGCATTGAGGCGCCGGGATCGCCAGAGACATTCCCTCCCTCGTACCTTCCATGCGATCGTTAAAATCTCGCAGATACTCGCACACTGAATTTTCGTGGAGAAAAAAAAATTTTTTTCATAAAAAGAAATTTTAAGGTGAAATTAGCAAAGAAGTCAAGCTAACTTGATGTGTTTTGAATTCTAATATTTAAATATTTAACTTTAATCTTTAATTCTGTATATATATATAATACTTGTCATTATGAATAAGTGTTGTAATATACAATTGAGAAATAGTTTTATTAACACACATTACTTATTTTACATTTGATTATTTATTAATGAAATTTACTTGTGGGTGCCTTTGCAAGGCTTGGTGTTTCCACACAGCACACCGATTGACCGGCTTCTGATACCACCGTGCACTTGTAATTGTCGGGACAAGTTTCGTTAGCGGAGCAAGTCGCGGCATTTCCATCCTGATCAATCAGCGGCGTACCAAAAAGGCAAGGACTTTTAAAAGTCTTCCTGGGTTTACATTCCGGCTTCGTTGGACAGAGAAAATCTGGGCAGCCGTCCTCCCGCTTTAGAGTACATTCTTGTCCTTCGGGGCAAGGAAATCTGTGAAGGTAGTAATTTAATTTAGCAATATGTATATTGATTCATCCTTTTTTATTTATTTTATGTCACATTCTCTCTCTCTCTCTCTCTTTTGTAGTTTTTAAAAATCTTTTATTAATTTTTAAAAATAATGAATTATATGATGTAAATAGAGAGAAATTATTATATATTTGCTTTTTATTAATCAAATAAGTAAAAAATAATAAATAAACAAGATAATTTATAAATTAATAATCCTCTCTTTATGATTTTTGTATAAGGAAAAATTTTTTTAAATATTTTTAGAGAGAAAATATTAGAATTTCGGTTTGCTCGCAAGTAAAGGATTAATCGCTACTGTAGCGTAACGATACCCACCCTTCGCACGGATCGTCGCATTCGCAAGTTGGGCAACCGAAGGCATCCGTTTTGAAGCCGTACTGGCAAACCTGGGCGCACTGCTGAGGGGTGCAAGACGCCGGAAGCGAGCGCGCCTTACTTATCGATCTACAGTCAATCTTCTCGGAGGGACCCATGGAACCGGATATCTTTCTACCCTCGTCGTCCACGCACCAGCAAACAAGACCGTTCCTCGAACACTGTCTCGTCTCGAAATCTCCGTCTACATGATTATATTGTGTATTTTAAAAGCTTTATTTTTATACACTAACAATAAGCGCAGACACGCTGCGCATTGAAAGCTCAAGATTATGGAGAAGGTAATAAACTTGCGCAGTTACTACTTAAATACACAAGTTTCGACACATAAAGTATCTTTCTCTCTCTCTCTCACCCTTTTATTTAGTCAGTTCTCTATTAACGGTACATGCAACTTTCTTCCTATACAGCCGTCTTTAACATGTGTTCATGTGTTATACAAATTACATGGGCTGACGTCAAAGTTTTACATCGTCAATGAACTCGTTTTAACGGACGCGAATATTCAATCTTCGCTCAATCAAGGCAAAATAACTTGTTTACCTTACCTTCCGTACACTGCGGAACGTAACCGCGGATTATGGAGAAGGTAATAAACTTGCGCAGTTACTACTTAAATACATAAGTTTCGACACATAAAGTATCTTTCTCTCTCTCTCTCTCTCACCCTTTTATTTAGTCAGTTCTCTATTAACGGTACATGCAACTTTCTTCCTATACAGCCGTCTTTAACATGTGTTGGAAGGTCATACAAATTACACGGGCTGACGTCAAAGTTTTACATCGTCAATGAACTCGTTTTAACGGACGCGAATATTCAATCTTCGCTCAATCAAGGCAAAATAACTTGTTTACCTTACCTTCCGTACACTGCGGAACGTAACCGCGACCCTGGCGCTCGGAGATGCTGAGCATCTCGGCGAGCATGCGGTCACGATGGCACACACTGAGGCCTCGGGGTATCGCACACACGTTACCGCCGCAACGCTCGCTGCTGCAACACTTTTGGGGTCCAGGACACTCGAGATCGTAGCGGCAGCTGGGTGCGCAGGCTGAGTTCGCGGGCTCCTCCACGGGACACGAGCCGGCTCGCTGCAAATTTACGCTGGATGGACAACAGACCCCGTACTCTTGTCCAGACTCTACCAGGCAACTATACATCGGCGGACAGGTCGGCTTGCCCGGCGTGTCGCCACAGAGGAACGGCCGTGGTGAATCGGTGATTTGTAAAGGTTCTCCCGTCGGACAGATCGTCAACAGAGACTTGGCCTTCCGACAGCTTGGTAGCGGAGGACATGGCGGGCGTGCGCAACTCATCTCGATCAGCTCGCATGTCTGTCCACTTCCCGGACAAGTGACACCGCGACAAGGATCCCGGCACTCGCACTTGGGACAGCCAGTACTCTCGTTGATCTACGGACAATAACATCTTAAGTGTAGTTGAAATTAGATAAAGAGATGGTCCTGTTTTAAATTTTTACATAAAAGTATGAGATTTTATAGAACATTTCATATATCTAGATCTGATCTTTTTATAATAACGCTTTTATGAAGAATAATTTAGGATGTAACGATATATGCTTTTGTTTTTTACAAGTTTTTATTTTCTAAAAACAAGAATTTTTTGTATGTGCCATTTGACAGACAATTTCTATCTGGTACATATTTGCTGCCCACTATTAAAAAGGAGGTCGCTGATAATATAAAGCAGATATTTTTAATGATGCAGATTATAAACTCGCTAAACATTATCTTAAATAATTTGAAGATGACATTTCTTTTATCTAACAATAAAAGGTAAAGATGGAGGTAATGTATACTTTGATATCTAGATAAAGATAAGATGAAGAAATTTTCATATCTAGATAATTATCTAGGATACCTCGAATCCCAAGGGGCAGAACATACGACAGCTGTGAGCGGGACAGACGCGGGGCTTGTAACAGTCGATGTCATCCTTGTTGGGCGCTCTGGTACCGGGAATTTCGGTGCCGATCGCGTCGACGCACCAGCAGTCGCGTCCTTGCGGATCACACTGTATCTTTTCGAATTCGCCAGTCTTATTGTCGCATCGCGGCACGAATTGCGACGGGCCCTCGGTACCGAGAGCCCGCGATCGCCTCACGGCCGCCAGTGCTAATTGCTCGCATCCGGTCAGTTGGCCCGCAACACATCGGAAGCCGCACGCGGTCCTGCAGCAGCGTTCCTCCGGCGTGTTCCTCTGGCACTGAGAATCATTCTCGCAGGCCGGCGCCCGCGATGGACACACGTTCTGTTCGTCGAGGGACGGACATCGACCGACGGCCTTCAGCGATGGCTCTGTGTAATATACAAATTATGTATATATGTGTGTATGCGTTCATATTAATTTGTATAAATTTAAATATAAAATTCAATTATTAACAGCGAAAAATTTACACATATCTTACAAATTGATACAAGATTCACTGTAAGCAGGATTTTTTATAGAAAAAGGTATGCCTCTCTAGGATTAGCTATCATTTAGTTAGTATTAAATGTAGGATTTTCCTAAAGCGACTATCTATTTTGCAAAATAAGAGAAATTATGAAAAAACATCTTTAAGACATGAAAATATATACGTATTTAAGCAAAATACATACTTTACTGAGTCCAATTTAATTATTTTATTAATACCTCTAATGTTTCACCAAAATAGATACTCATTTTAGAAAAAAATGTATATTAATATAGCGGCAAAAAGAAGGAACCTAATTATTGATTTTAAATTATTAGTAATCGTAGACCTCTTATTTATTTGCGCTAAAATCTTGGATTTATGCATAATTGAGACGCGAGAATCGCAAGGATTTTAATGTTCAATGAGGCGACGATATGTGATGGATTAGTGGATTAATAAGTTATACTTATTACTTATAGCAGAAGCGCTAAATAGGTCACTGTGCGAAATAAAGTGCTTTCTCGGACGAGAAGTCGAGAAGCGAGACGTTGTTTTCGAGTACGCTCGGGCTTAAAGTGTAGCATAACGACGATGATGATAATAATAATAAAAATAGCCAGAGTCGAGACGGCTATAACGGTTCCTCGGCATCCTACTGCCACACTTACTATACTTACTCATCACCTATCGTACTATGAGCGCATTTCCAGGCGGTACCGCAATGGCAAAGTACATATGTACCTCCGAACACTCAAAGGAGAAGAGGAAAGCGCGTGCCAAAACGGGATGTACGAACGAGAAATATTAATCAGTACGAGAACGCGGAAACCAACCGTTAAATTCTTACCAAAAAATCCTCAAAAATATGAGGAAATGTGAGATCCAAGATTAATTTTTATAAATTTTTTAAAGGATTCTTTTATGGAGTTTTATTAATTTATTAAAACTCCTCTCTCTCTTCCTATGGTTAAAAAAATACAAGATAATACTGTAACATAAAAATTTCAACTAAAATTAAGCTTTTGTATTAATTTATGCATGACTCGATGGGAGTTTACCGCGCATTCCGTTACATGGCACATATTAATACGCAGAGAGCGGTGATGCACGTTCGCGTGACAAATGAAGAAAGTTCCCGGGGTCCGGACGGACATATACGAAAAGAAAATCCGCTCGAGCGGATATTCCGTTTAGGTGCACCTGGCGAAAGTCTCCGTCGAGATATATATGCGATGTATGTACCTCCCGTACCTCGATGTATGATATGTGCGCGTCGCGTGTCAAGCGGTCGTTTGCCGCGTGTTTTCACACCGGTTTGAAACAATGTTCCGTAAAAAAAAAAAAAAAGAAGATTCAATAAAACTGTTGCGAAAAATAGGCGACACCGCATATCCGATTATCCAAAATTATCGTGCGCGAGAATTCTTTAATTTTTCCAAAACTTTACCTAGTCTTCTACCTATGATTCAAGACAGAATTCGAAACGCATATAATTTGATATACATTCGCAAATGTGCTTTGTCTCTTTTCGAATTTCGAGGAATGTACAAATGAATTTAATATGCGCCTCGTTGTCGAGTCAGCGTTTCCTCTGTATCTTCAATTTCTTTTCTTTCTCTCTCGAAAAAGAAAAAAAAGAAGAAGAAGATATGAAGAGAGAGAGAGAGAGAGAGAGAGAGAGAGAGATATGAGAATATGAAAGAGAATGAGAAGGAAAGGCGAGGGGATGCCTTTTAACGGTGCGGGAGAAATTCAATTTGTTATTGCCTGTGGCATGCAAATCGGGTTGCCCTCGATATTTATTGAGAAAAGGCCTGCATCCTGCTGTAACACATCGGGATGGGATCGATTGCTGGAATGCTGGATTATACGGGAGAGGAGGCTCCTAACCAGCAGTCTCGTTCCGCGATTATCACGTAAACCGTCTCGTTAGATATGTTATTTAATTCACCGATCGCATATATTGAAGACGCGTGGAATTCAATACGTTTACTATCGATTACTCGAGATGCGTTACGGGATATTTATACGTTAACATATACGTTATCGAGCAGACATCCACCGGTATAATTTCATTTGAACTTTGATTTCTACCTACAGGGGTGTCCTACACGCAAAAATTATCTCTACATCTCGATTAGCAATAATAAAAGATTGCTACAAAGAATATTCATTTTACCACAATAATGATGTAGAAAATTAAATTCGTCTAAATTAAGCATCTCGTTTTTGCGACGTTTCATTATATTTATTTGCAAACAAATCTACTTTAAAACAATTACATGTTAATTATTATTTATTAGAATAAAGCGAAAGAGCAATGTTTTATCTCCCGCATGCACGTAGAAAATTTTACAGTACAAATTACATGATAAATGCCATTTTCTTTTACAACATTTATTGTAAAGTTGAACATAAAAAGACATTAGATATTTATTATTATAAAAATTATAAATGATGCATTTGTGTTCCATTGTTTGTTAACAATTATGCATTTGTTTATGCATCAAAATGTTTGAATAATTACAATATTCTTTTATACATACAATATAACATGTATATAATATTATCGAATAAAAATATCGTGATTATTTTTTTATATGTTGGAATGTGTTGCACGATTATAAATATTATATTGCAATTTTTACTATAATATTTTCTTCGTGATACGGGATTTAATTCAAAGGGATTAAACTCAGAATCGGAACAATATATTCAGCGCTAAACATGAAACGTGAGCACAGACCGCAGAGACCGGGCTTTACGCGCATCTCGCGCAATATCTAATTTTGCACTCAACGCTTCTCGAGCAAATGGTCATTTATGAAGGGTCGTTTTTCGCTCGCTCCGGTAAACGGGAGGAATTGCGCAACGCCAAGAGAGGAAATTCGCCGCCGAGAGCGATCTCGAACAGAATCCTCAAATTCCCCCGGAGGAACATATGTCGCGAATATGTGCGATGACGTGCAGTTGGTTGGTTCGCGCAACATCAAGTACGAATCACGACCGTTCGCGTTCGGCTTCCGAAATCCGCTCACGTCTAACCATGGCACATTACATGCAAATGCACGTTCGTATCAAGAAAGAGAGAGAGAGAGAGAGAGAATTCGCTTTTCTTTTTCGTTGCGCGCGGATCTTCGATCGCGCCTTCTAGGTATTGTCGAATATGCGAGACAACTCGCTGCTGACTCCAATTTTGCAGAGGTAGTACGACGCCGAGAATGATATATGGACGGTGTCCTAGGCAAAAAATAATAAATTCGCTGTAAATCTAAAAAAAAGAAAAGAGACAGCTGGCGCGACATGAATTTTTGGATTAAAAAAGATCGGTTGAAGGAACATTCGGTATTGTCAAAAGCTCAAACATATGGCCAGAGAAAAGAGGGTTTATTGATAAAAAAATTGAATTTTGATTGATTTAATGCTTTAAAATTCGCTCTTTTTAGATTTAGTCTCATTGTTATCTTCAACATATTGACTTTATACTACGATTAAAAATAACACTTTCAAGTGCATAAAGAAATAAATAATATTCTAACTTGCAATCAAAATTTTATAATAATTAACATAATTATCCGAGAAAAAAATGGTGTAATGATTAGACGTAAATATACATAATTAATTAGAGAAGGTCTAATAATGTATGTAATTTTATATGATATCATATATATATACATCTGACGTATATTTTTTCTCGAATATGATTAGAAAAATAAAGAAAATATTAGTAATGATAATGTCACATCAAGGAAAGTATAATATATAAAAAAACAAAAAAACTATATTTCTGCAGTTATTAAGCTATTATTTTTCATCCATAAACCTTCTCTCTTGGAGCAAAGTCACATGAATGGAAACGTGGATCCATTCTCGAAAAACATTGCTTCGGATAAGATTGTCATTTTACTCGAGTTCTCTCTTTTAAGTACGATAATAAATTTATCCTTAGTGCGCGTGATCTTCGGACGGCAGACGTCAAACCACTGAGCAGTAAATAATGAAACGCCGAAAAAAAAAGATAGAGAGAGAACGTACCTGCGGTGATTGATGACGACAAGGAGAGAACGAGCAGCAGGCAGGTCGACGACACCCACACAACGGCGCAGGCAAGCCCACCGTTGCAGAAATCACGGCGCATCCTCAGCGCATCAAGTAATTTTTGAGCCGGCCGCTATATCTGCAACACAGTAGCGTCTTGATTAAAACGGCTTCAAGCCGTCGCGAATAATCGATGGGAACGTTAATTACGGCTACGGAAGCCGTATTCGTCGCATTATCTTTCACGACGAGAACGGAACCTTGCTTTGACAAGACGCGACGCGGTCTTAATAAGTCAACGAGCGGCAAAGTTAAGGTCCGTTGACTTTTCTTTTTCCGATTGCACTATTTTCGTGGTGGTATCGATGTAAAGTCGCTTCTTTCGCAGTCCCATCGCGAGTCAGAGCTCTCCCCTTTAAGCCGCAGGAATAACAATGGGAGTTATGTCTCCTTATTCGTTATGCCGCGGGGAATATTCTAATGCGCTCTCTCCTACGTTATTCATGAGCCGAAGTCGACTTTAGATCTACGAATTGTCAGACCGTTTTCGTTCTTTCTTCATCCTTTCTCAACTTTTTCTTCTTCTTTTTGTGTCTCGTTACAAGCTCGGCTACGATGTACTCGCTTCTTTTCATCGCCCCGATTATCCGGCCGCACCCATTGTAATCATCTCCAAAGATGCTTCTTGGAAGAGTTCGTAATTAGGAATAAAAAAGAAGATTATAATGGTCGTATTTTATCGATCGTATTAATGTAATTACTGCAATTGCAATGCCAATATATATATTGACTAATAATAATATATTATAATTGTAATGTCACTAAACACAATGTATCATATAATTCTATTAGCAAGAAAATATCGTCATTGGTGTATATTAATGTTTTCGCATATAATTAGATGTTTAAGAAATAAGATTTAAGTCTTTAAGATGAGAAAAAAAACATACGTATAAATGTATGATAACATTACTGACATAATCAATGATAGTGACAGTCGAGAAATATCTTTGATAAATAAATATTTCAAGCATTTATTATCGGTATATCTAAAACCCATTTTCGATAATCTATAATTCGCAAATCAAAAATTTAAGACAAAATCTATTTGTAATTTTCTGGATATTTATATATATTTTATACATGTGTGTGTATTTTACTTATTTAAATATTTTATTATGCAAAATATAAAATTAAAAATTTTATTTTGAATTTTATCGCCGATTATAGATCGTCTAAAGTAAACTTGTAAAGCCCTAAACTGCTTTAAAAATCTCTCTCTCTCTCTCTCTCTCTCTCTCTCTCTCTCTCTCTCTCCCTCCTTTTCATGGATCCTCTTTAATGCACTTTACTTCGTGATTCATATACGACGATGGCAGGCGAAGCTGTTCGACAGTGAAATTACCGGCGCGATGCGGCGGTTACATCCTTTGGGAAACCTTCAAATTTAGGATGTAGCCCGATGACATGAATAATGCAACGATAGTAGGATAGCCATGCCACGTTGCTGCATAATGGTAATTATACAGAGCAATCGCGTCGAGATTACGCTTATTGGCATTAGCCTGTTGTCGGCTGTCGTCCGGGACGTGATTCCTACGTATCATGATGCGGCTGACAGATTTCTCCATCTCGGAAATTCCAACGTTCTCTAGAACAGATCTATGATCCAAGAGCGTTGCATTCTATTTCTATAAGAACTACATAGAAGAAATATTCCATGTAGTTCAATCTTTATATACATAGAGACTTTCTTTACCAACGGCGAATTTTCCAATTACACGTGGAAGAAAATATTTTTTATTAAAAATATATATAATAATAAAGAATAAAAATCATTCTGCCCTTTGTAAAAATATCGCATTCGTTCGAGCTTGACCCCTGAACAAAGTAATATAAACTCGATTTTGCGAAGGAAAGTTTTCGCTAATATTCGTCCGCGCTTTATTTAAGGCATACAGCTTTACTTAAGTCTATTAATGGACCGTGTATATATGGTGGACACATGAAGTCGAAAGGTAAATCCGATTAAAATACAATAAATGTGCGTCTCAGTAGAATATAACGAATTGAAGAGAGTTAAATGCAATATAGTTGACTTTGCTTTTTATAAAACTGAGAAAATGGATAATTAATTTTACCAACTTTGAGATTAATTTTATCAAGCTTCTAAAAATTTAAGTTAAATATGGTGTTAAATTGAATTTTTTAATCATTAACTAGCTGTGGCAAAAAACTCTTGTAGTTTTTTGCCACAGCTAGTTAATGATTAAAAAATTCATAACAAAAATAAAATAAATCGATCGAGTAAAAGTAATCGAGATCAATTATTCAAAGTAAAAAATTACTTTACCGTATTTGCATGTTTTTTGAATGAAAACGTCAATGATTGAGAGATTGAAATATCGAAATGATGTTATAGGTCTCTCGAATATAATCTGTGTAATTAATCTCGAATATTATCTGCTGCGTGGAATGATCATGTCGAATCAAGCGTGCAATCGAATCGAGCGCTAACAAGCGGTTCTGAAATTTCATTACGTTGGAAATTGTGTACTTTTTATCGATGTCACACATGCACGATTCCACAGCTCTCTCTATGTACCAAATTTCTACTCGATCCTACGAAATATTCTGCAACGGTCCACATATACACGTAAGCCGTCTTACTCTCTTACAGTTGATTCACCGGATGTGGGTCACTCGTCGTCATTGGAGTCTTCCTTCCGGGTCTTAGCCTTAGCGCCTTTAACTTTCTATTGTCGTCATGAATTCCCGAATACGTCATCACACTCGTCGGTACACTTTCGTGAGGACAAGAAGAGACGAAAGAGAGAACCGCTTGTACGAGAGAAGACAGATGGGCGAGATCAGCCTTCCTCTTTCGAGGAAGGAATCTCACCGCCAAGTCGTCGGGAATCGTGAATGAGAAACAAAGTTGAAATCGCGCCGGATGTACCCGGCATCGAGAAGAGTGGGCCGCGCCGGTCGACACGAAAAGAAAAAAAAAAAAGGAACACCTCGCATCCTCTTACATTCTTCACGAGTAATATAAGTGGCACGGTCGTATAGTAAGCGCTACGGTGCGACTTTTATGGCGACAATATTAGCGCCCGCACGAGCAGCAAATAACTGCTACTCGCACATACGGCGACGCTTGTGTGACATTATTATTACATGCACTCGGAATGTTTCATTATTGAAGCGTACCGGATGTTCCAGGACTTCCGGGCCTGTAAACTCCGATTCCATTCGTTGGCCTTTTTCCAAATGTGTGATCCCTTCGAAAAGAGGTAACAAACGCACTTGCCAAGTACATAATATTTAAACTCGCGTTTCAAATAAAAATGCAACAGGTAGAAAAGTTTTAAAAAATAAATTATTAAACGCGCTATTAAAAAATTAGTTGTAGAAGAGGGAGAGAGAGAGAGAGAGAGGGTATGTATACAAATGTTATAAATATTAGTATTATTGCAATATACAGTTAATACTATGTTTTAACTATATGTGTATTTCCAATTTGTAAACAATATTATAATTGTACAATGTTGTAATTCAAATAACATTCTTTGATATTAATTATAATGATTAGATGGCTTAGTAGTTTAATATCTCTAAAGTATTGATTATATGACTATATTGTATAATTACAATATGCATATTTGAATCTCTATAATACATATCATAATTTAAATGTGGGAGATCGCTTTAAAATACAAATTATCCTATGCACTTTGTAATATATTATTAATATATTCATATTGTAATATTACAATATAAGTACAAATATTGCAGCCTAGACATATCATAATCAATACTTAAAAAATATTAAATTAATAAATAAAACTTGATTTTTATCACAGTTTCAGTTCTAGAGATATTTTAAGCACATTCAGTTTTAAAGATATTGAAAGTATATTCTTTGACAAGAATTCTGAATAAACTACTCGATAGTGTCTCCATGATATACGGTCAGTTGCTTTTTATATATGCACTTGGCATACTGCATCATTTGTTTCTTTTACAAAGACTGATCTTTGTATTTAAAATACAAAACCATGATTAATTTACCTCTTCAATTTTCACATATTTTAATATATTGTCGTGATTTTGATATTCTGGTATTTATATCAGTTTATACTTTAATAATCATAAAATTTTAAAATACGAAAAAATTACAATCTGTTTCTACACATTATATATTAGTATATAAAAACTTGTGAAAGATATTAGAGTTTTTAGAACGTTTAAGGTTTCGAAAAATTTTGCTGAATCTTTCGAGATTAGTATTTTCGTTACATCTCGATTCTACTTGGATGATTTGGCTTTTTACGCCGAAAATTGTACATTCGAGCAGAGTGCATCTGGCCGATGGTTGCACACCAACTCGGAAATAGTTACACGCGCGAAAGTTATCTCGAGCTATGTACATATGTACATATGTACTTACAGTTTATACAATCGTGAATATCTTTTGCAAAAGACGCTATTTTATTTTATTATCCAAATTATTATTGCAGATTATAACTTTTTTTAATATCAAACACGAAAAAGTTATTCTATTTATCATACTCTCTCGTCTTTCTTTCCCTCTCTTTGTACTAAACTCCGTGCATGTAACTTTGAAAATGTTAAATCTACACACGTTCGCTGGTTATACCTGGAACGTGGACCGCAAGCGTCTGCAATATTCACGTCTGACAAATGGGAATAGGATAGAGCTGTGTTTCTCAAACTTGCACAGGTCACGAAATCCTAAGCATCTCCCGCGAATGCATTCTTACTTTATGCGGGTAATATAATTATTCTGGGGAATATAATACACACACAGTCGTCTCCGTAAAATATTTCGGAAAATAATTTATGCGATTACGATTTAGATATCTAATTGTGCAGCGCACACAAATACCGAGATAGAACAAATGCATATTTGTTCATATGAGATACTGGAGATACTGTTCTCTTTCCAGTAATTCCGAAAGTTGCAATATTTATGGCGGCTACGCAAAACGAGTACCAGAAGGGCTCGCGCCCCTTGCGTTCGTAATTGTCAGAATCTACGCGGTGGAGGGGAACGCTATTAAAACTTTCGCGAAATAAAAATGAAAAAACGTACGTCGCATACTTAATAAGAGAGGGAGTCACCGAATAACGATTCATCTTTTTTAATTGCACAACTGGTATTCGTAGTTGAGTTGCACGCGCTACATCTTGCAACGGCCGAAATGACGATCCAAATTT